CTGAAGATGAGGTTTCAACGAGGAATTCAAGGCCTCCAGCGATTCTGTTATCGGAGAGGATAAGCTTCTGGAGATTTTGAAGCCTCGGGAACTGCTCTAGGGATGAAACATCGATGCTCGCCATTGACAGTTGCTGCTCCGGCGTCTTCCACCTCGCCTACCCCCTCTGAGCCTTCTAGAGAAGTTCCAGAACCTTCAGCACCTCTCGATCTCAAACATAACTACTGAGGTAGTTAGAAAGCCCGGCTTCTTCATCAGCGGAGAAGGTGGGTATTCGCTAGCTGGATACTTGGATGGTTGGACCTGGAGAGCCTGATCCAAGCTTTTACTTTCTGCTGCTGCTGCTCAATCGAATGAGCCACCCTCTTGGACTTCGAACGACTATTTAAGTTTTAGCACCATGGTTTGCCAAGTTTAGAGAGCTGGTGGTGTTTGCGGATCAGATTTGAAAAAATTTCAAAGAAGCAGAGTTGGATGTCGGAGTCGGGTAAGGTCGGCTGGGTCAGGAGGTCCGAGTGGGTCTCATTTGTTGAAGAGGCGGAGCTCCACACTTACCTCTCTGCCCTCGTTACGGTTCTCTTAGCTTATTGCATCCGCCTTGATTGGTGAAAGCTTGAGCCTGAGCTCCTCCTTTGCTCTGAGCTTCTCGAGCCGCTCTAACTCGTGCTTCTCCACGACGGGGCCGCGACAGCCGCTTGATCTGATCCAGCCCCAAAATCACCAGCTTCCTGGAGGGGGTATTGAACAGAAACGCCAGTATCATAAGCATTTCTGATAAAATCACTACAAACAGCAGCAGAATCATCTTTCTGGTGTTTTTGTTTTGGTGGGTTGTGGGGAAAGGCGTGAGTTCAGAGGCAGAGAGAGAGAGGGCTCTATGTCTGTTTGAGATTTTGATCTTTTCTGTTTCTTTCTCTCACTAGAAAATGGAAAACGAAATGGGTTTTTGGGTTTCTTGCAGATTTTACAGATTCAAGGTGGAGTGTGGTGAGGTCTCACGGTGGTGAGATGAAAAAATGAAAGAGAACCGACATAGCTTTTTGTATCGATTCCCACAGACGGCGCCAAATGTTGATGCACAAAACCGGATGGTCTTGGAACAACGTAAATCCGACTGTGAATCTGCAAGAAATGTAAATGACACAAGAGTTATCGTGGTTCACCCCAATGTTTGGGCTACGTCCACACTGATTGTATTATATTTCTCTGTTGAAGAGGGAGAGAGAGAGCTTAGAGCTTAGGGGAGGAAGCTTTGAGAGGGGGTGAGAGGCTTCTGAAATGGCCTCTGAGAGTGAGAGTCAGGCCTCTCCCTAATTGTGAGGGTGAGGGGTCCTTTTATAGAATAAGGACTCCTCACTTATTACATATTTGCCCCTTCCTTTATCCCATAATTACATTTAAGTCCCCTGAGTATTTGTACGAGATCTAAATACGAGGCCCTAAATATGGTATAAACAGACTTGAATACCTCGATGAACAAGCTAAGTAAGCCTTCGAAGCCTCGCTTCCCCAGATCGAATCACAAAGAAAGCTAAGATAGCTTGGAGAATGCTAAGATCACTTAGAAGATGGGAGAAAGGAAGCTTTGTATTGAAAGTTAAGAGAACTTTACAATTGCTTACAATTCTTGGATGGTTTGGCCAAATGGCCTTACCTCCTATTTATAGGCCTAAGTCACCTCCTCAATGGAGGGTTCTAGAATCCCCTACTTACATCCAAAAATATCTAGCATAGTTCTAGATACAACTTGCCTAATCTAGATTATTCTAGGTGAGGCTTAAATATGTACATTTGTGTGGAATGTTCCGGAATGCCCTAGATGATCTTGAATGCTCCGCCACGTTCTTGATTTTTCCGGGACGTTCCAGAAGCTTCCATGAAGACATGGCTTCATGGGCTTAGATATATGATGTCTTGGGCATTTTCTTTGTTTTTAACACATGGCCCGTGACACTTGGCTCTTGTGGTCTATGTCCTTATGAACTCCTTTTGAACGTATATTATGTGGTTTAAAACTAGACATGTTTGTGATCTAAACCCATCTGATTTCATGTAATTCCATTGAGTATTGATATGTCAAAATCATACTCAAACTTGAGTCCCGAAACTGCCAGACAGCAGCAAATACTGGGTTCCAGTTTTGAGACTCTATTTTATAACTTGCATAACTTTCAACTTAGAACTCTGTTATCTACAAATCTTTTATGCTTTTAAAGTACACAAAACAAGCTTTGAAACCCATGTAAGTTTGCATCAACCGGTATAGTTTTGGGTGTTCAAAATTAGGTTTAGTCTTGGTTGATTGAAACTGCTTTTCTGTAGCTTTTGTGGAGAGGGAGCTTTTTGCCTTTGCAATATTTGTTCTTCTCTTAGTTTTAATTCTAATTTACTGATGCATATTGAGTTTGTGGCTAAACCACGTTGTATGGTTATGTGTTGGGTTTCATAGAACCATTTTCTTATACAATTATAAGCTCAATGATTTAATGTATCGGTGCATTTATACCTATTGAAACGCATAAATTGTAACGCCCCGGTCCCCAAATATTTATTTTATTTCGAGAAATAATAATATTAGTGATAGGCCCAAAATAAAAATCTTATTTAGTTTATTATCCTTAGCTAACAACTCCAATTCAAATCCTTCATCCCACAAGCAATTTATAAGCATTATTCATTTTTCCAAAACATCCAATTTAAATTCCAATTTAGTACCATTTCTTTGTAGGGACCAATTTCCATTATGCAACCCTTATTCTTGAATTAATTTAACTTTACATATTTTATGGCTGCATCTAACATCTTGTTAGACTGCCTACGTACCCTCAACATGGATCAAGCCTTTGTAGTTCAAAAGTTCAAAGTTTCGAACCAAATACAAACTATTCATTTAATCCCATATACACCACAATCATATTAATATTTAAATCATAACAATTAGATAAAAAACAACCTACTTAAAATGATGAAATTCATATAACAACGCAAATGTCAGCTCCCTGGCCGTGCGCCGCTGCCCGACTTGCCGGAAAATTCAACTATTTCTAAAAATTCTCAAAAATTATAGAAATGAAGATCTCAATGAGTAGAGAAACTTTCATACCTACAAAAAAGGCCAATTTTGCCTGAAAAGGCTCCAATTTCATCAAAACCTATCGAAACCCTAGAATTTGGGTGTCCTCAATTCGACTCCATAGCAACTCCGATGCCCCAACCCATGAATGGGCTTTGTTTCTTGGTTCATGAAGAGTCTAGTGGTGGTGTTAATTTAATGAAAATGTTTCCGATTTGCTGGATTTCGACCATGGGTCATACGACACCCACGAGTTCCTTTCTTCCAAAATTCTGAACCCAATCGTCTCAAATTTGCTAGGGAGATGGTAGAGGGAAGGTATATATGATGATTTAGAGGGTTATATCGGCCCAATACATCAGAAAAAAGAATGAATTTTACCGGAGAACCCTATGGGTTGCAACCGGGTCCGCGGGTCAAGGAAACCCGGCGGGTTCCTCTCCAATTCTCCTTCTCTCCTTTCCCTCCTTTCTCTCTTCACCCATTGGTCATCCTCCTCCCCCCCCCCTTTTTCTCCTCCCTCTTTTCTCCCTTTATAATCCATCTCCACTGCCCATATTTTCTGTCTTTAAATCTCGGCCACACACGTGGCCTTCTAGATTTTTCTTCAAAAATCTGGAGTTATCTTGAACTCAACTATTTTACTAAAATGCCCTCAACTTTAAACGTTAATAACTTCTTCGTTCTAACTCCGTTTCACGAATGGTTTGCGCCTACGCGTTCGTGAGGTCGAGCTCTATTCAAAAATATAATTTTTGACCTCAAAAGGTCTACGTATTTTAAATAATTAAGGTCCAAACTTTAAACCTCGTAACTAGTTTAATTTAAAACTAAACTTACACAAATTATTATAAATTCTTGAAAAATCAAATAAAAGCTCAATAATATTCTTGATTTAATTCTTCATAATCATAAATCGATTTATTTTCGATTTTCTCCACATATTTATATATTTAAAGTTTTCAGGGTATTACATAAATCACCTATGGTCCAGAATTATTTCCATTCAAACGTATTGGCAGTGACGAAGTTATTATAGATCAACCAAAATGACATTTGAATTGGGTGCTGTTAAATTAGTTAGTAATTCCAAGTACTTTGACTAGAATTAAAGTTCATGTCATGCATTTAGTAATGTCTTATATTTGTGAAAATGGAATTGGTCATGTTGAAGCATCAATGTACCAGTGACTAAAAGCAATGCTCAGGAGTCTAGTTAGGGGAAATACGACAGACAATTACGGAGTTTGATTATACTAAACTTCGTGGAATCTTATATTATTATTTATCTCATTGGTTGATTACTCTTGTTGGGTGCTACTTGATCGTGTGCATAATTGGATGACTTGGATGGTAATTGAATTATTGCTTTTGTTGGATGTCTATTGGTGGGATTATGGCTTGCTTTGATATGAGATGGATTTCGTATCGGACTTTGTAAAACGTGAGGTATGTTAGGGAACTACGAATGGCTTGATCCCTATTTAGGGTACGTAGGCAGTCTAACGAGAAAGTTAGATGCAGCCATAAAGTATACGAAAAATTACTATGCGATTCGATTCTTGAGTTGTGCTTTGCCTATATCTTGGAGGTGGGGTATGTTAGAGATACGGGTATTTGGTGACATCACGTGTTGATCCTGAACGTATGTCGGGATCGGGGTGTGACACTGAATGTACAGAAATGGCTATAATAGAGTTTCTGTTATTTGTATTAACAACTACTCTAGGAGGAATGTTTTTTATGCGTTGCTAACGATTAAATAACTATCTTTGTAGCTCCAAAATGTTTCAGTTTATGCTCCTACCTATTATCTGGATATACCAATAAAGATGTACGGTCTTATATATATATATATATTGTGGAACATGTCAGATAATCCTATGCCTTTCTTTAGCCAGCTTCTATTTCTGTACATGTCACATCATTTATAGAACTAGCTCCTTCAGTACTTATATATATATATTGTGGAACATGTCGGATAATCCTATGCCTTTCTTTAGCGAGCTTCTATTTCTGTACATGTCACATCATTTATAGAACTAGCTCCTTCAGTACTCGTTGATGGATCTACTCTAGTACAACTCCTCTTCAACAAAAATGCAGGCTGTGTTGGGGAAGGAACTGCTGCCTCTTTACCTAGCATGAAAACAACCGCCGACATGGTTGGCCGGTCAGCAGCAAACTCTTGCACACACAATAGGCCAATTTGGATGCATCTCACAACTTCGTTGACATGGTACGATTCGCCTATGGATGGATCAACGATTTCCAAGGCATTGCCTTCTCTCCACAAGTCCCAAACCTAGAAGAGTTTTGAAAAAAATCAACCAAGCATGAATAAAGTAGGGAAAATCATTGTTTACAAATAGGCTATAGTTAGCTTACATATCCAACCAAATTTGAGTGGGGATATTTTTTGTGGTAGTAACCGGAATTCCTTCTGCCAGTTATGATTTCTAGCAGCAAAACACCAAAACTGTACACATCAGATTTTACTGAAAAAATTCCTTCCATTGCATACTCCGGTGACATATAACCACTGCAAAAGTATAAAGAGATCATGGTGAGACTTGTTCTCGGAAGGTGGAATTATTAACCTACTATTATGGTAAGCTCTAGCCAATTTATATCTTCAATTTTGATGAAATTTAATTAACTTACTATGTTCCGACCACACGATGTGTATTTGCTTCACATTGATCCCTTGGAAATATTCTTGCCATACCAAAATCTGCTATTTTGGGGCTCATAGATGCATCCAGTAGAATATTACTGGCCTTTAGATCTCTATGGATAATCCTTAATCTCGAATCTTGATGAAGGTATAAAATCCCTCTAGCAATCCCACAGATAATCTCAAAGCGTTTTGTCCAATCTAAAAGATATCTTTTTGTTTCATCTGAATACAGTAAGAAGTTGAAACCAAATCAATTCTTGTTAACTTTAGCTTCAAAACGAAATTAAAGGAAAAAAATAAGAAGACGTACCAAAAATAAAACAGTCCAAACTTTTGTTTGGTACGTATTCATAGATCAGCATCTTCTCGTCATCTTCAACGCAGCAACCTATAATCTTGACAAGGTTTATGTGTTGGAGTTTCGCAATTATCACAACTTCATTCTTAAACTCTTCAATTCCTTGACCAGAATTCTTCGATAGTCGTTTCACCGCTATTTCCTTTCCATTATGAAGTACACCCTGAAATTATAATCCAAGCACTTATGTTACCATTCATTTTTAGAGGCATCAAACATGAATTGCATATTTGTTGTAAGCTTCTAGGTTAACCTGAAGTTATGCATCATTCGGAAAATTATAGGAGCTAACTACCTTATAGACTGAGCCAAAACCTCCTTTCCCAAGCTTGTTCGCTACAGAGAAATTGTCCGTGGCGGCTGCGACGGTTGTTTGATCAAAGAATTGTAATTCTGAGTTTATTTTACTTTGATCATCGAGATCGAGATCTGTTCTATCTTCCATGAAAAACATATTTTTTCTCTGCCTGCCTGCTGTCATGAAATACATAATTAAAAAGCAATGCAGTGTTATAGCCTTTTGGTCACAAACAATCAGTATTGCGCGACACTACAAGAAAACTTACAACAACCGTTGGCATTAGTTGTACAGAATAGAGTGAGTAAAAGTCCTCATAGTATACCCGTCCAGTAGCCACTAATAAGTCTTTTACCACCTCTATTCTTACAACTAATATTAGCGATTGTAGTCGTTTATTTTAGTGTTGATGTAATGGAGACCGACACAAGAGGGATACTAATTAAGATGGAGAAGCAAAATTTATTTACCTTTGCTCTTCCTCCTTACCAAGCAACACAAAAGGAAAACTAGGCCCAGGAACACAAGAGCGGATAATAGTGAAATTGCCAGCCTTGCCTTCTTGCTAATTACAGAACCATTTGCAAATTGAGCTACAAGGATATAAAATAAAAATAAAAAACCAACGAATTCAACAGTTGTGAACTGTAAACAGTAGCAAATCACTATAAAAAATAAAGAAGAACTATGGGGTTTTATCATGTGCGAAATAATTTGGGATGTAATTAGTCAGGCGGATCAGGGCAAAGTACAGCCGGGCAACAACTATCCAACAAGATTTGTCTCGTATTAGAGAAATTCCGGTAGAAAGTGTACAATACAAAATATTGTGAGAATAAAAAATAAAGTGACTACCTAAAGTAACTGCATCAACTCGTACATACAAGTCCTGCCCAACATTTGAAAAAGTTCTTGTGTCTATCAAGTCCCCGTACCACGTCACGCAACCCTTCCCTCCTCCCCTTTCATCTGCACGCGCGTATGCCATGCAAGAACAATTCTTCATGCACTCTTGCTCACACCCTTGCAGACTCAAACTCATATTCACACGTGCCTTAGATGAGTCGGGTACCTTCACACGTGCCACCTTAGCAAACCCTTCCCCTTTTTGGCATGTAGACGCTCCCAATTTTCTCAGGCATCCACCCAATCCATCTCTCAGATACCAGTCCTGGGGGAACTTGGGTTCAAATCCGGGCAGACAAAGGCAAGAGAAGTTATAATTACTGTATGGGTCGCAGTTACCATTTGGACCACACTGTCCATAGTAGTCACACCACTCACTAGGGCTAGAGCTTACTTCGATCCATTTGTTTTCTTGATCTCGCCATACGAACCGTTTAACAATTCCTGATTCATCTAGCACCCCCCTTGTGAATACTGAGCCATTTGGAACAGTATACATCATATATATCTCATCTTTATCGTTCACAAAGCTGCGGACACTATTAATTGTAAATTCAGGGATCCCGCTAAATCTCTGGCCGGTCCAAGTTCCGCCTCGAAACCATTTGGTTTGACCCTTGTAAAGAATCAACTGCGGAAACCCGGTTGGGTCAATCTCATACGAAAAATTCCCTGATCCGGGATCATCCTGGGACTTCCGAGATGTTAAGCGCCTGTTCAGCCCTGACCGCCGGTTCAGCCCAATCTTCATTAATGGAAGCAGTGTATCTGAGGGGTAATCAAAGCCTTGCCACAGCACCCTTGGGCTACTACCATTGTTCTCAAGCAATACAAGATTTCCTGTATCCAAAAGTTTGGCTATTACGGAATTGTTTGGCGAAGAGACTGTGACATTAGCAGACCAAAGAGGGTTATTTTGGTCCTTCCCATAAATGACAAGGCCTCCATGATCTCCATGAATAGCTAGGAGCCAAGTTCCAGCAATAGGAGTTATGGGGTTGTCTCTGTTTGCAATCCAGACGATTGTTTGGATTGGAATATTGTTGTACCAAACTCCGATGTAACGGTTATGAGAATTGCCTGGGCTAAAAAACCCTAGTGCAAAGATTTTAGTGGCGGAGAGAAGAACGTCGCCATATCTTAGGGGTTGGTTTGGTGTAATGGCATCCAGGGCAACAGAAATGGAAGAGGGAGGAATCACAAGGAAGATAAGCAATCTAATTATGACAAAAAAGAATTTAGTAGAATTCATGGTTAGTTTCTCAGGGTTTGGTTAAGTGCTAAAAAGGTTGCTTCTTTTAATGGCAAGCAGAAACAAAAAGCCCGAAAGGTTGGATTTTATTTTTCTCCGGAGATTGCGCAACGCTAAAGGCTTCCAGTTGTTGGATTCACCCGCGAATTCCTTTCGTACATGTCGAAAGCTCCACTTCATTAATTCTGACCACACCCCAGTTGTATCCAGTAGACTGATAAAGACAACTTTCTAATTGACGTTTCTGTGCATGCGAATGAATGGCAGAGCTAACTTGGCTTCGAAGGGACCAATTTGAAAAGTCCTAGGGTTTTTTATTTGGCATGCAAAGAATCACAGGTCAACTTCTTTTCTCCTGTATGAATCCCATCAGCCAAAACCTAGATGAAAAGTCTTACCTGCTTCGTATGCAATGCTGAAGTTTGATGACCACAAACCTCTCATTCTTAAACACTAGTTGATGTGAACGCGTCTGTTTGCTTTCAAGTTCCCACCATAGTACGTCTCACAATTGACAGAATTAGCTAACTAGTCTAAGTATAATTTCTCTATCGCAAGTTCGCAATCGTAACTAATAATTCTGATGCCCTACACGTCAATGCACTCGAAATATCTTAAAAGAGTTCAACTTTAGCGATGTCACATCATTTAAAGAATTTTCTCCTTCAGTACTGGGTGATAGGGCCTTTGCATGTGATCCAATATCTTAGTAGATAGGATGTTGGATTTTCACCCATATGTCTTACATTCGAAGCTGCACCCTCCCCTAAATTGTTGGCTAGTTTCAAACTCTCCCCTCCCTTTAATAATAATAAAAAAAAAAGGTCGTACCCAGTGCACAAGGCTCCCGCTTTACGCAAGGTCTGGGAGAGGTGAATGTCGGCTAGCCTTACCCCCATTTATGGAGAGGCTGCTCCCAAGTCTCGAACCCGAGACCTACCGCTCATGGGCGAAGGCACTTGCCATTACACCAAGTGCGACCTCTTCTCCCCTCCCTTTAATAATAATTATTAAAAAAAAAAAAAACTGGTTGATGGATCTCCACTATTATAACTCTGATGCTGGTTGTTTTGGTGAAGGAGCTGCTTCTTCATTACTTAGCATGAAAGCAACCGCCGACATTTTTGGCCGGTCCGTGGCATATCAGAACTTGGTTGACATGGTCCAATTCACCCAGAGATGAATCAATGATTTCCAAGGCATTACTTTCTCTCCACAAGTTCCAAACCTAAAACAAATTTAATAGCTAGTTGATAAAATTGCTTTCTTCTTGTATTCTCGTGTTGTGTTGTATTCTCTTGTGGTCATACAACAATTTTGTTGTTAACTTGACGTATCCCTGTCCCATATCTATGTCTGTGTCCATGCATCGTAGCCACAAACTGTTAAATCCCCTAATTATCTCCATCTCCGTCAGCACTCATCATGCTCATTACTTAGTTGACTGTTATTCTTAGTATGGTCAACTCCCGGTGACCATTCGTGAATACTTTGTACCAAGACGGGAAAAACAGGGGTAGACTTTTTTCGGTTATTAACCGATGTACATTCTTTGTACTAAACTAGGATAACCAGAGAGGAATCAACATTCTACCAAAAATTACAACCAATACCTTTTTTTTCACTTAAGTTGGGTAACACATGACATTACAAAAGACAATGGCAAGAAATTTTTATTTGAATACGACGTACAACTTAGGTCGTTAGCGGGCTTCTACCGCAGTTATTGTTAAGTCGTTTATCGAACGAATTTCTCTTTTTGATGCTTCTGAGTTTGGATTTCTGGATTGTAATATAAATGCAGGTTTCTTGGGACAGGGATGAATTGCTTCATTACTCAACATGAAAAACAACTTCCAACATGGTTGGCCTATCCGATTCACTTTCTTGCACGCAAAGTAGACTGATATGGATGCATCACGAAACCTCATGTGCAGGATATGACTGATCCAATGATGGATCGACTATACCTAATGCTTGCTCCTCCGTCCACATATCCCAAGTCGGATGCAATTTGAAACATCATTTTAGCGCAAACTAGAAATTACGCCCGTGCGTTGCTGCGAGAACTAGCTGTTTTAGGCGTAATCGGATGAATAAAACACATTTAAGTTGAATAAATTCAACACAATTATGAACAAACAAAGGGATACATGAGTGAAAGAGGTCGATAAGATAAGCAGTTTTGCTTTTATATACATTTAAGTAAGCTGACATATAAACACATTGTCCAATGAGTGGGAAGAAACTGAGCGTATATGATTAGAAAGAGATGGTTTCCAAAAAAGTTATGTTTCCTTAAGAAACAGAAGAAACATGTAGCTCACACAAATAATGTGTCCGAAAAGGCCAAGGAGATTACAACGATTATAGTCTGGTGTAAGCAAACCTGATATACTACAACTGATGCATACATTCCAATTAAAATGTTCATGAAAACTGCCAACACGATACTTGAAACAACCACAATTAGCCACATAATGATTGTCAAACCAACAATAAGGATGCAAGCTATTTCAAGAAATGGACCTTCTCAAGCAAAATGATACTTACTTGTTCCTTGTCCAAAACCGTTGGTGCCGTTGCACATTGTTATCAATTGTGGGTTGATCAAATCCTTCATGGCTTAGACTGCATGAAGAATTAGAAACTAATAGATGAATATATGCTGTAAATCATCATATAAATGTAATTGCACTTAAAAAAAAAGGGAATGAAAAAATTGAATTCTATTTCATCAGTATGTAACTGCATGAAAAGTTACATTGAATGCAGACTCAATCAATTTCCCCAAAATCATTGTCAACTGAAAATCAATCCATAAATACCACCACCGAATTTGGCAAAACCCAAAAAAAAAATTGCAAAAATTTACTCATATAATCACAGAAAAACATGAAATTTGAGCACCCATTTGGCCAAGTTAAAGGATAAAGGCACTCACATCATCGTAGTACTCTTTGGGAAGATCTTCTAATAATGGTTCTTCCTTTTTCTTGCTCTTCCTCAGAATTGCCATAAAAAACCCAGAGAAGCACACAAATTTAGAAAAGAAAAGGTCCAAAACTGCCATAAAAAATCCAGAAAGCATACGAATTTATCAGAAAGAAAAGTTCAAATTACAGAAAGCATACAAGTTTAACTTGGCCAAAGCCTTGCATGCGAGGAAGATGACGATAGGATTCCAGAGACAACATCCACATTCTTTTTTCTTGGGTGAACTAACCGAACCATATTATATACTAAAACGACATAAAAAATCATTCACAAACTCACAACAAAATAGAACAAAAACATTCACAAAATATTTGGGAGTTGGGACGCTAACAAAAACATTTCTTTCCTAAACAAATACACAACCGCTAATCTGGGTTTGGTCAATTTGACTAAAACGGTGTGCTATTTTGCATCTAAAGCTAGAAGTAGGAATAACTGAGTAAGTTAATGAAGGCAAAGCAGAGGGTAGGAAGCAAAACATACCAAGAGACCAGTAGGCCATCGGGGCCGGTCTGCCGATGAACATCGTGTACTGGTCGACAACGCCCAACGACGTCGGCCCAACAAAGAAGTAAAAGTCGAAAACACCCCCAATGACCTTGTAAGTGAGAGAAGTCCTTTTGTAGAACACATCCATGATATTGCTGTTGATTTGAGAGATTTTAATGGATTTATAAATCCATAGATTTTTATGAAGTTTAACTGATTTGTAAAGATTTTATGTAAAATTTTGATTCAATTCCCTCGAAATCTCATGGGAAGATGTGAGATTTGTGAATGCTTAAAATACACTACAAAATCTCTCCAATTCCATCTAATTCCTCAACTTTTCCAAATTATCTAAATTCTAATTCTAATTGAATACACCTAGAATATTATAAACTTCTTTAAAATTCTAATTGAATACACTTGGATTTTTAAGGATTTTAATAAACTATCTTAAAATCCTGATTGAATACACATTGAATTTCAGATAATCACTTAAAATTCTGATTGAATACCCCTAAATTTATTAAAAGAATTAAAATCCCTCAAAATCTCAATTGAATACACCCCTTTAGACTAAGTAAATAATACTTAGAAGGGAAATGTTAATACACCCAATTTACTTACCGAAACCACCCTCACACTCCACACAACCCCATTAACTTACTCAGCAAAAGCCTGCCGAATCAATTCATATTTTTGGATAGTAGGTATTGAATTTAAGATTCGGCAAATTGTTACTGAACATGTAAAATGTTTCAGCAGGAAACTATCGTAGTATACAGTAGCTTGTACCTACCGTAGTGGTGCATATTTTCAGTGGGCCTCCACCTAAAGATTAAGTAACAAATGCGAACAAAATAAAATTATCTGCTTCGCCTCACAAGGCTCAAATAAGAAAGAGAGAGGGCGAAGACGCTCTCTGAAATTCAGCAATGGCGACCACGCCAGCACTGACGCTTCATCTCTCTCGCCTCGCCCGCCACTTCCCTTTCTCCTCTTCTTCTCTCCCGACTCCTCCTCTCTTTCCTCGTGCTCGACTCATTCTAAGGCCGCGTGACCTTCCCTTCCGCCGCACCTGTTCCTTCTCCATCTGCAACTTTTCCCGCCGATTCTCTGTCTCCGCCTCGACCACTCCAGGTACGGCTCAAATGAGTTTGTGCTTCTCTCTCTTTGTCAGTGAGTGATTTTGTCGAACATGTCCCGTGCATTTCAGTAATTGAAATGTTGGCCAAACTGGATATTTTACTGACATTAATTTGCAAAAATAGTGTCTTTATGCTGTTAACGGTGCCTCCGTTTGGTTGAACACTATTATGTGATATGCTCTCTCTGTTTGTAAAGCAAAATAATCTGGTTTGAGTATCTTCTAATGGGCTCCTAACAAAATTTAGGAAGGAGTTGGAAAAATTCATCTTCAATCACACTCGGTGCTCCTAAATCTGAGGAGTCAGAAAGGAGCTCTTAAGGGCTCCTAGGATTAATTACTACTATTTTAATAATTTTTGTTCGTTCATAGTCATGGTTCCTCTCTGGATTAGAGACTATGGTTGGAGTGAGTTGTATAGAGAGCTCCGAAAATAGTTTTTTTATTCTTTTTAGTTCAAGTTTGACTTGAAGATTAGCATGAGAAGGAAATACCCCATTTCATAGTGCCTGCCTGCCTAGGGAACACAGGTTTGATCTAGAATTGGATTTGAGAGGTGGAGGAAAACGCTCGGAAACGCCTTCATCCCACATTTGAAAAAAATATCTTGCGAGAGTATATGAGCTCTTTGGCTCCCTTCCCTTACAAAGATGATTTGTAGGGGCAAGTTCTCTTCAAACCAAATTTGCTCACAAGCTTTTCAAGCACTGCCCTCACTCTTCTCTGAGGCAAATATAACTGCAACAAAACTACCGAGGGCTTACCAGCTTGGACTGCCCAATCCAGACAAGCTGGTGATGTCATATCAAAATCCTGCATTTACAGTACCTGAAAGCCTTTAAATTAAATTTCAACAAATAAGCAGTAGGATGCTTGAACAAATAGCATGGGGTCGTTTTGGAACAAATGATTCTCCCGAATTTGTATCTGTATGAACAAATAGCATGACGTGGTCCTTCTTTTGCCTCTGTTTTTTATTTTATTTTTTATTCTGCCCTTGTAGAAGTAATATATATATATATATATATATTTGTTTTTTGGAACCCGCAACATAGGTTTGAGACATACTCAATTTGGAATGGTATTATGGCTCGTTTACTAAATCAATAATCGGAAGAATGGAATTGAGGAGAAGTTGGAATGGGGTAGAATCACACTCAGATTCCTATTAAAGGTGTTTACTCAAATTTTCTGGATCAGAGTAGGAATAGTATTGATTCCATATAAGTTTGCTTACTAATTCCCCTTAGTCGGAATGAAACCACTGTGATTAATAAAATGCCCTTATTGTAAATAAATGATTGTATATGATATTTAATAGAAAAAATTAATTGCCTTTCTTCACCAATGTTAAAACACAATAAACCCATATATTTATTTTTTCAAAACATTATTTTACTTTTTAAGATTAAAAAAAACCCAAAAAATTCTAATAATTTTTCATATATTTTTTTGAATAAAAGTGTCATTATTATTAGTATATTTATTTTTAACAAAAATAATAAACCGAAGAGGAGAGTTAGTGCAATTGATACAAGCCTCCTCTTTTTGTTCCAATCTCTTAACCTTGAACAAATAGCATGAGGTGGTCTTTTTTTAACATGTGTTAGTTTTACATTGGCCTTTTTTAAGTTTACCATTCACAAATTTAGGAATTGACGAATAATAAAGGTGAAATTCAATCACTATATTTTTCATCATTTCACAGGTCTAAGTGATGATGGGCTACATGATGAAAGATATGATGTCATTGTGGTCGGAGGAGGACATGCAGGCTGTGAAGCTGCCATAGCATCTGCTCATTTAGGGGCGAAAACTCTTCTACTCACCCTAAATATTGATAGAATTGCTTGGCAGGTTTAATTCTGCCTTTTGTTGATAACCTCATATTTTTCCTGTTGTATTTAGAAGTTTTGTTGTATTTCTCAAAATTAGATATGTGAAATTAATTTTCAATTTGAATTTCAACTCATAATTCCTCTAAAGGAGCAGTAAAAAAATTTAATGATTTTACACTAGTAAGTGCAGCAGGTTTTTTTTTTTCTCGGTCCGATTGAAAGTTAACCCAATGAGATGTAGTATCTAGAATACATATTGCAAAACACACAAACTGGGAGGCAGCATTCCAACTTATTTATTCAATTTTCCTGCAATTCCTCATCTTTAGATTTGATATTCTCTCACACACATCCACACAAATAGAGGTGCAGCCATGTTACTTTATGCAAAATTGCTTAGGTCTTTAGAATCATGACACAGATAATTTAAAGTGCATCTTAATGAAAAATGTCTGATGCAGCCCTGCAACCCAGCAGTTGGTGGACCAGCAAAGTCTCAACTTGTACACGAAGTGGATGCCCTTGGTGGTGAAATCGGGAAGATTTCTGATCGGTAAATCAATAAAATCTCCTATATTTGCATGTTCCTTTCTAAGAAGCTTGAGGGCATACCTGTGGGCCTGTGGCTTGCTATTGGTTTTGTTTTGGACGAGCATATTTAGAACTGACATTTCAAGAACTTAGTATGTTTTGGTGCGGGTTTGGGGTATTTACATGCAAGAATTAGAGACGGTCAAAATGACACACTCATTGAGAAGGATTGCATAAAATGCTCAGGTGCAAAAGTAAAGTGATCGTATTGGTGTAAGTAATTATGTATTGCAAGCCCTTAACGTAGAAATGAAAAGAACAAAAAAATAAAAAATCTGATTTTTAGGTAACTCCTATAATTCGTAAATAAAGAAAAGAATTTGTTTGAGATGGGATCATGGGAGTATGGTCAGAAAATACTGATCACTAACAGGTCTACAGATGGCTGGGGAAGTTTTGCCTTTTTTTTTCTCTCTGGGAAAGCCTTTTGGAGCTATAATGTTGTGAAAGGTCCATTTCCAAATGGGTTAGTAGAGAAGCTAATAATTTTAGATACTATCTCGGTTCTCTTCTCCTATAATTTTTTTTTTGTTTTTCTTTGTGGACAAAAAGAAGTTGTTTCAGATACTCTGCCATTGGGTGAGCTTGCCCTTAAACTCTAGGGCATTTCAACATACCCTAATTAGGGTTGTTAAAAAATAATATATTCTGATAATGGTAAAATATTAACAACGTGAAAATTCAATACATATTTGTAAGGTTCCTGCCAATTTTTTTCTGGTCCAGCTTTTTCAGATAATTTGTATTTCTTTCTGCTTATGCTTTTTCTTTTTAAGTGTTTTAGTTTTTGTTGGTTTTTACCATTTCATCTTTAAAGTCCCCCATTTTCACCTTCACTCTCTGCAACTTTAGTGATTTTCAATTTTTATGCTTAGGTGCTATTTACAGAAGCGTGTACTCAATGCCTCAAGGGGCCCTGCTGTTCGGGCATTGCGTGCACAGACTGATAAAAGGGAATATGCTATGGAAATGAGAAAAATAGTAGAGAGGCAAGTATTACTTTATCTTTCTGCGTGATTCTTTTATTGTCCTTTTAGTGATAGTGGTGTGGTTTGGTTTATTTTCCTCTCTTTTTTTTAACCTTTTCTTTCCACATAGACAGTCATGAAATTCATATGTGGCTGAATTTATCCAATCTTTATACTTTAATAACAACCACTTCACAGTCTGGCCCTTATGGATGTGTTGCTATTTCTGAATCATGATTGCTTGAATTGGAGTATGGTTTTATCTTTTGAATTATCGCAGTTTGAAACGTAATAGCTTTTCCATGTAAATGCATGCTTTAGTATCAAATATATCCGCTTCTTTTTTGTTTCTAGGTTGAATTACGAAAATATGCTATTATTTTGGCTGTGCAATCCAGCATTAGAAAGCATTTATGATTATAGTGATGCTGTTGTCAGCATTTGCTACAGAGTTACTTGCCCCTGTACGGCAAACGCACATTTCTCTCCTTCTGAGATGTCTCCTTCAGTACAGCCAACTGATGCAGCGAAACATTAGAAGCAATTAGATAAAAGTTGTAAAAGCAGCTGAATTGTGTACATGAAATTAACTTTTTTGGGATAAAAATATTGCTCAACTTTAGGCTATGGGAAACGAACGAAATCCCAAAATGAAAAAGAAGTAATGTGATATATATATATATATATATATATATATATATATATATATATATATATATATATATATAACTAGATGGAAAACGTTCTAATGAGGACCTAAATTAGGGAGCTACGTTAAGGGCTTGCATGTCAGATGTGAGGTCAGATATAAATGACTGCATATGCATAATGAGTGAGAGTGAGTGAGATGCATCTTAACTGTCCATGTCTGATCTCAGGGCTTATATTGAGGCTTTCGTCTAAATCTTTGTCAGATTACTACTTGTTATATGAGTATGCATTTGATATGTTTCTATATTTTTATGCATTTGGTATGGACATGAATTAGGTTTGAAAATGATGTAACTTAGCATGATTCTTGACAGGTTAAAAGTTCAATTTGGTGTGAATTCTGATGTTAAACTTGTGTTAAGGATTTCTGCTCCCATGCATTCCATGTGGCTGACTGAATGATATCATACTAGATTCTTTCATTTATAAAATGAAATAAAACTATACAGTTGGACTTGGCATGTTAAATGATATCACTCTTAAAAAAAGAAAGAAGAGAAATGAATAAGAAAGGAAAAGAAAGACATGAATAGTGCAATATTATCTAGGTAAGTTCCAAGTAATGATGATTGAGTCTTCATTTTTCTTTTGTGAAGCTTGTAATGCAATCCTTCCTAGAAGGATATATATTCATGTGCTCTTGCCAAAACTCATGTTGTCTCTTAGTATTTATTATACTGAAAATCATTAATTCCTATCTGTTTTAGTTTTAAAAGTCGTTGACCATTTGAGGTAGTAAACTACCTATGATTGCTTCATTTATTCCTGTTTAGGTTAACTACAAAAATGGTCTTCGAACATGTCTCCAAGTTTCATTTTCGTCTCTGAAGTTTTTATTTTATTTTATATGGTCCTCAAACTCTTGTGTGGCTTTTTGGTCATTTTTGTTAACTCCATCCATTTTTCTGATAAATGTAGGAGCAAATAAGACTTTCTGCATTAAAAAAAAATCAATTAAACAAAAAAGAACAGAATTTCAACTTCTCAGAACTCCTATAATGGGGTGGATAGGGATATCAACCACCCCCTCCTCCTCCTCCTCCTCTTCTCCTCCCAATATTTTATTTTCAATTCCAATTCTTGATTTCAATATATTAAACTCATGAGTGTGGTTCCTATACAATAAATGGTCTACCATTTGAAAGAGAACTCACCTCTTTCAGACTCACACTACTATAGTGTTGTAGAAATCAAACTCACCTGAATCACTCTGGAAGGCCTTATTCTCCTTTTTTTCTTTTTTCTTTTTTTTTTTTTAAAGCCAAAACATAGCACAATTATCACACTTATTCAGTTATTCTCATGTTGCATATCTTTGTTGTGGCTATGTCTTTCCATGTATTAACTAGTTTGATCTGCTTTCGTTTTGCAGCACACCAAACCTTTCAATTCGAGAGGCAATGGTGACAGATATCTTATTAGGAAAGAATGACAATATTGAAGGTGTGCAAACATTTTTTGGGATGAACTTCTACGCTCCTTCAGTTATTCTCACGACAGGCACATTTATGAGTGGTAAAATTTGGGTTGGTAGAACTTCTATGCCTGCAGGAAGAGCTGGCGAATCAGCTTCACTCGGACTGACTGAAAATTTACAGCGCCTTGGATTTGAAACTGATCGATTAAAGACTGGAACCCCAGCACGTGTGGACCGTCGCACTGTTGATTTTTCTGGATTGGAACCACAACATGGCGATGAAGAGGTCCATCTATTTAATCCCATATGTAGGTTCTGTATATTGGTTGTGCGATACTCGTAATTTTAATTCGTGCTTTGCACTCTTGCCATTCAAGTAGATGTTAAAAATATTTAATGTCATTTTGGCGTGCATCGACACAAGGTATACACCAGGCCTGGGTCCCATACTTTGCTTTTCACAGGATGGCAAGTTCCAAGATAAAGACTTGACCATTTGGTTCTTTTTTCTGGACTAAGCATAAGTATCTCCACTGAATTTATGACTCACACATGGAACCAGAGGGTCTGTTTCTAATCTGAGATAGGACAGTAAATTAAGTAACTGTTTTCAGGGCAGGAGTTTATTTGTTGGGGCTATATGGTTTAGAAACTGGGGAAAAGTTTGTCATTTTGAGCTTAAGGTGGTGTCTGGAGTAAAGTCGACAAGGCATTATGAGATGGGTTTAAGGTCTTTTTATTTTCCGGTCAAAAGGGTTTAGGGTTTAAGACAGGCTTGAGCAGGTTCATTTTTATGATTCTGGCCTGGAACTCCAGTTTAGGTTTTGGAAATCTAATTTGGTGAGATATATTTTAGACTTTTAGCATTATAAGGCTTTAGATTCTGGATTCGAAGGCTAAGGAATATGTGGCTAATTTGCATGAGTTAAAGGAACGGCTATCATTTGGTGTAATCAGTGCTGTTCCTTCTTCTTTTGCTTTAAGATCTGTGTGCTTTTTGATATTTTCTGGCACTTGGGAGGTTGTTGGCGACTGGTGAGAAGTGACTGCATTTAGATTCATCAGATGATACTGGCTGGGCACTGCGGAGTTTCCAGAAACCAGTGAGGGTTGGTACAGAAATGCAGCTGGTGCAAATGGACCTTAAGGCATGCTGATTAAGCCTCATATTGAAATTGAGAAGAAATATTTGCATGCATTATTCATCTTGTATATCCACCCCCCACCCCCATATATTGATTGGATTCTAATCATAATGAGCCAGATTACAATAACGTTTACTTTTTCTTTTCAGTGGTTAATAGTTAGAACTATTAGTTTTGTTGAGAATTGCGTCCTAAATTTGAATTGATGGTTAACAGGTCGGCTGGTTTAGTTTTGATCTTGATGTCCATATTGAAAGGGAACAAATGTGCTGCTATCTTACGCGTACTACAAAGAGCACTCACCAACTAATCAAAGACAACTTGCATGAAACTCCCACTTATGGAGGATGGGTTGAGGCGAAGGGGCCTAGGTATTGCCCTTCAATTGAAGACAAGGTAAGTTGAAATTGAACTTGTACTGAGAGAATTTTTTTGGCAGCACCAGATATTATTAGTTTTTTAATTATTTTATATGAAGTTGGTCCATTTAAACTATAATTGCATCACCAAGTGAACCGTACTGTTCTAGTATCATAAAAAGCAACATAGTTTTGAGTCTTGACACTTTCATACTTAATTTTATTGTAAACTGGTTCAATGAATCAATGCATGATTATTATTTAAGAAAAAAAGAGCACAAAGTCTCTATGTGAGAGACTTACATCCACGGGAAGAAAAGTATGCTGCCTTTTACTTTAATTGGAAGTCCGGAATGAATTTACAAGATAGTATCTCACTATCGCACACACTGGCTAGAACTGCAACTCTTAAGGAGAAAGTGAGAAATAAAGAGGTATTCTCCAAATGATGTTAAAGCATCCTTTTATAGGCCTAGGAAATGAGGCTATAAATGAGGCTATAAATGAGTGAAATTATTCCAAAAACAATGGCAATTGATGGCCCATTGCTATAGTTCCATATGCAAATAACATCCGTAATAATTTGCATCCAGACATCAATGTTCTGGTTGCTCATGGTCGGTCCGTTTTGTTGCTAGATAAATGATGCTCCAACTTTTATTGAACACAGTAGTCATTTGCCTTTTAAATCCCAGATCATCTAGTCAAAACTCTAAGCTATATTGCCTCCACTGGTTCTGTTGCTGCAAGTATTCTGCCTCAGTGGGGGCAACATACTAAAATTTGTTTAGCCCATTGTATCTGAAGCTGTTAGGACAAGCAAGGCCTGGGATGCACGCTATATGCACATCCTTTCCATACATGATGCACCATTTAGGAATTATCATTCTGATTGTTATGGAAACTCTTTAGTTTCTCCTTTAAAGGTGGGGAAAACACTATAGATGGAGACTATTCAAACACATTTTATTAGAAACATGTAGAATACTGCTAAGGGTCAAAGAGTAGTAAAATCTAATGAAGGATGATGGGAAAGTAAAATCAGACGTGCTAAACATGGTTTCCAACAACTTGCAATCCTTCACTTGTTTAATTGGCTATCAAGAGAAGCTTCCTGTGGAACATTGATAAAAAAAACATTCTTCCAATCTTCTTCTTTCCTATCAAGAGGAGCTTCCTGACGTCATTTTGGCCTTATTTTTTGGCTTTAGATTGTTCGGTTCCAGGATAAAGAGTCTCATCAAATTTTTCTTGAACCAGAGGGCCGAGATGTGCCGGAGCTTTATGTGCAGGTATGATAGCATTCACCCTTTGTCTTCTCTGCATTAGATGAAAAGAAGGAATATAAATATAATGACTTAACTGAATGGCTAGTGCCCTTTGATATAATCTCTCTCCATCAACTTGTCTTTGATGAATACAAATAGACACCCGAATTTTTGTCAAGTTTTTACCAGATTAACCATAGCAGATGATACTGAGTATCAATGTCTTATAATATGTCTTATATAGATGCTTTTTATAAACATCTTTTCTTTCCTTTTTCACACAGGGATTCTCAACTGGTTTACCAGAGAGACTACAGTTACCACTCTTGAGGACTTTGCCTGGGCTTGAAAATTGTTCAATGCTGAGGCCTGCTTATGCTGTAGAATATGACTTCTTGCCTGCTCATCAATGTTCTCGGTCTCTTATGACAAAGAAAATTGATGGGCTTTTCTTCTCTGGTCAAATAAATGGGACTACAGGCTATGAGGAGGCTGCAGCACAAGTAATTATTTAGAGTACCTTTATTCAGTTGGTGTAGAGTGAAATACAATCTATCTGTAGTTATCGATACAATTGTATATTTGAAAGAGTCACGTATTAGGCATTTATTGTTGAGATTGAATCCTACATCGGGGAAAGGAGGGACCTTGCATGTGCTTATAAGGAGTTGGTTACTCCTCATATTGCCAATAGGTTTTATACTGGGTTAAAAGGTGCTAAAACAGTTATTGTGTTATTCTAAAAAAAAAATTATCGCCTCATTCTTGTTTATGCTTTTCTGAAGGGCATTATTTCTGGTATCAATGCTGCCAGACATTCAGATGGCAAGTCCCTCATTGTTCTTGAGAGAGAAAGCAGCTATATAGGAACATTGATCGATGATCTGGTCACAAAAGACCTTCGAGAGCCTTACCGCATGCTAACCAGGTATGAGCTCTTGATATTATCCCAATATATATAAGATCATTGTTATTTCAATCATACTTGGCGTGAAGTTAATTTGGTGGGTGGTTGAGGTTGCATGTTTGATGGTTCGACGTAATCACTTCACTTCCTAAGTGTTCATGTGAATGTTTTTGGAAGATACTTGTGTAGTTTAGATTCTTTTGAACAGTCTTTCTAAATCTAACACTTTCTACATGGCTACATCATTTTTTTAGCAGAATAGTTGGTTCTTTTTATGACATCAGTTGGCTGTGTTAAAGTAACTCCATGTATTATGGAAGTGCTTGTTGTCTAGAAAGTAATGAGATATTTGTTACGATAGAGAAAAAGAAATGATCCTTTAAGGCTGGGAGTAGTGTTACAATTAAGTTTTATTTTTGAACCTCTTGGTGGTGCCGTTATGCTTGACCTTTATGATGCCTATTCTCCCTGGGCATAGGCTTCATAAAGGTTGAGCATAACATGACCACCAAGAGGTTCAGCAACCTTGTGGGTATCACTGCCCTGTTGTAGATCACTGGCCTCCCCATCAATTTTCAAGGAATGAGGACAAGCAACTATATGGCAGTACGACAATGCTCAATTTTTGGAAGTTAAACAGTGGAAGTAGAAATCGTTGTGCCCTTCTAGGCTTCTACACACAAGAAAACCGGGAGTGTTGAGGGGCACTGCCACCTCTAGATGTCATGGGCAGAATACCAATCGTAGATAGTTTGATTTATCTGCTCAGCATCAGTTAATTCTTCATACCTTGAAACAAGTTTATAATTCGTCTGTAGATTTTCAAGTTGGTTTGACATTCCATGACATCCTATATTTTTTTAATTTCCAATAAAGTCGATCAGAGCACCGGTTACTTCTCCGATCTGATAATGCTGACAGCCGTCTCACACCATTGGGGCGTGACATTGGGTTAATAGATGATAGACGATGGAAACTATACCAGGACAAACAGGCTCGAATTTCAGAAGAAAAGAAGCGATTGAAAAGTGTCAGAATTTCAGGTTTTCATCTTTATCTAGTTCTTCTTAAGTTTTGTAGCGTCTTTACACTTTTAGCATTGTTGTATACTGTTGTATACTTTGGTTTGCTCGAGTTGGCATTTTTAGTTAAATTATCAAGCTGAAGTACATTTTCCCCATCTAGTTTACCGGAAGTTTCAGTTGGCCCTGATTTCAACTCGATGTGTTAACCTTGATATTTCTTTAGTTCGTTTTTTCAGTTGATGCCAATATTTTGCTTTTGTTTAATTTTGTTAACAAGGTAAGCATATAAATATAATTCACCCTCTGTTCATGCAAGCATCAGTTGTGCTCTATAACCCACCCTATAATCTAGCATGGCCAGTGTTTAAAAGCATGTGTTGGGACGCACGGCATGCACCTCATAGCCGTACGCTTTGCTTATAAGCTTACACTTTCTTCCTTAGGATTAAGCTATGCGCAAAACTGGGCTTGGGTGGTTGATGCAATACCATGTCCTTTTTTGTCCTATTATTTATTCCTTCTAAGTTGGGTTGAATTTTAATAAATTGAATAAACTGCAATCTGTGGATTTTGAGACATAACTGAAACTTATAGTTATTATTTTGTGCTTCTTTCAGGAGGGGAAATAGCAGCTGATGTTACTCGTCTTTCTAGTCAGCCATTGAAGGACTTTACAACTTTGGAGAGTCTTCTGAAGAAACCACACATAGAATATAAAGTTCTTGATAAGCATGGTTTTGGGAATGAACTGTTGTCTAGAATAGAAAAAGAATGTGTGGAGATTGACATCAAGTATGCGGGCTTCATTCAGCGACAACAGAGCCAACTCCAACAAGTGAGGAACTATTATGTGTTTCAATAGCCTTTGTCAGTACTTTAAATCATGCAACTCACTGATTTATTTCCTATTTTTGGAGGTAGATGCTTAGCAATTTTTAATTTTTCTTTATCCAAAATCTCATATTGTTCAACTCTTCTGTGTTTAGATGGTCCATCAACAGCATAGATTACTTCCAGAGGACTTAGATTACTATTCAATAACAACTTTATCTCTTGAATCACGCGAGAAGCTCTCCAAGGTGTGCACCATATATAATTTTATTATGGCATAACCTTTTTACCAATATGTTCGGAAATCTGATGTGGCAGAAATTATATGCTTTTCATATTTTAGACAAAATGGCTGTAATCCCAAACTCTTATTCTATTTTTACCCTTTTATTTATGTCATTTTATACACATAGATGCCTAAATGTAGTGACTTGTTGGCAATATGTTTCGTTCAGTTTTAATGAAACAAATCATGTTTTCAGGTGAGGCCACAGACCGTTGGTCAAGCCAGCAGAGTTGGTGGGGTGAGCCCTGCCGATATCACTGCTCTCCTCATTATCCTTGAAGCTAATAAGAGGAGAGCACATGAACAGAAGAAGCTTGAACTGCTAAATTCTATCAAGATGGATACAGAACAAGGTGTATCTGAATTGCCATTTACTGGGACACTCAGGTCATGATGTTTCCGCGATTGCCAAACTTGGTATTTGAGTTGAATTCGAGTGTATCAAGTGTATCCTAACGTGTCTGTATAGAGAACGCATCATGGTACGAGGTGAATGGGAGATCTGTCCATCTTACTTGAGATACCTGGTAGATACCCGGGTCAAATTTCATACAGATAGCTTGTGCAACGGAACTATGAGGACTCATTGCACGAGCTGCTGCTAATAGCTGCTGTGTACTCGGGTAACTCTTATCGATCCTTGTCCGAGTAGGATGTTGTACTCGGGTAACTCTTATTGATGTTATGAAGTTGGTACTTGGTGGTCGTTCACATTTCATATATTTTAGACCATCTCCACCCCACCGGGGTTGTAAAACATTTTGTATTTTGGTCATTCGCAAATGGTCAACTACTTATTTTGCTCGTGGAATCTGACGAGCTTCTTTCAATTGGCTGCAAATTCTTTGTAATTTGTGGCTGTGCTATGAGTGAAGTTTGGGATTAGATGCTGACATCGATGAGGCGAGACGATGCTCGATTAGGGGCAAGGATTTGTGTGAATCAACAGGCACTGCTGCAGGTGGTTGTTTTGGGTGGTTGCGGCGGAGGATGCAGCGGATCCGATTGCTTTCGGTGTTCTTTTTATTCGGTCTCAACTTTTGGTTTGGCTTGCTTTTGGTTTGTTTGGTTGGCCACTGTTGTTTGTTTGTGTTTTTATATGCTTTTGGGTATTTTTGTTGTAAAGTTTATTGTTGGTAATGAAATTTATCTTTGCTTACAAAAAAAATGTCAAAGAGAGAAAATTGAATGAGATTCTAAATTTACGTTTTTCTTGTTAGAGCACAATTCACATGTTCCGAAAATGTAAAAATAAAATGTGGACTAAGTGGCCTTACCGACCATTGAATCCATACACTTCACATCTTAATTTAAATAAAATAAGAGAATTGTTATTATGATCCTAAAAATTTTATTTTACATTTATTTCATAAGTGTATTTTTTTTTATAATTATATAAAATTTTGAATACCAAATTAATTTTTTAGACTGTTAATAACAATTCCTGAAATAAAGAATCCGCAAAGTACAATTTAGGTTGGAAGGTTTGAAAAAGAAAGAAGGAAGACTAGAAGTTGTATAACCCAACCAAGAAGAAAGCAATGAATTCCATCTGGTGAAGGCGGGTGAGCTGCGCGTGCTAAGTTGGAGTGGAAGTGCTGAACCCATTCATCAACCCAGATGATGAACATGAATCGTCGTCTGAATGGTTCTGCTCGTCTGATGCTGGTCTCAGATCTTGATTGCACCATGGTTGACCATGATGCGCCTGATAATCTGAGTCTTCTCAGGTTCAATGCGCTGTGGGAATCATATTACCGCCATGATTCTCTGCTCGTATATTCCACTGGAAGAACACCCATCACGTACAAACCTTTGAGGAATCAGAAACCCTTGCTAACCCCCGACATCACCATTTTGTCCGTCGGCACTGAGATTATGTATGGCGGTGGTGACGATATGGTTCCTGATCTTGGTTGGCAACAGTTTATCAGTCACAGATGGGATAGAGCCATTGTTGTTGAAGAAACTAATCAATTTCCTCAACTTATTCCTCAGGTACCTTTTTCTGTAGTGTTCTCCCTCAACCCTAATTCTTTTACCTCTCACACCCTCTTAATTTTTTTTCATCGATCGATCGGATAAATTGAATGCTTCGTTAGATGTGTGGGCACATGAGAAATAATAAGATTAGGAATGAGGATATCCGAATTAATGTAGAAGTAGGTGAAATTGAAAGAAAGATGAGAGAAAAACGGTTACGGTGGTTTAGACATGTGAAACGAATGCTTACTGACACTCCGGTTAGAAGATGAGATTATGGAACAGTGGTTCAAGGCTGAAGGGGTAGAGGAAGATTTTGGAAGATTTTGGAAGAAATTCTAAGAAAAGATTTAGAGTACTTCGATCTAACGAAAGATGTGATATATAACCGAGTGCAATGCTAGGATTCATATAGCCGTCCCACTTAGTGAGAAAATACTTTATTGTTGTTGTTGTTGATCGATCGGATAAATTAAAGAGGATAAAGGTCGTACCCAGTGCACAAGGCTCCCGCTTTACGCAGGGTCTGGGAGAGGTGAATGTCGGCTAGCCTTACCCCCATTTTATGGAGAGGCTGCTCCCAAGTCTCGAACCCGAGACCTACCGCTCATGGGCGAAGGCACTTGCCATCGCACCAAATGCGACCTCTGGATAAATTAAAGAGGATAATTGGACAAAAATTAATAAAGATGTGAGGTAAAAATTATGAGTATCACTACCTTTCATTTTTTGTTCCTTCATAGAATTTGTAGAAATATTATTCTTTATCAGATCACTAGGTATAAATCATTTATATAGTACAATAGATACATGTATGCTACAAATGAAAAATTAATAATTACATTGGTAAGAATTAAACCTTGCTATGTTTGATTTATAGTATAATGAAACATAAATTAGGGAGTTCCTTTAACACCCCCACAAATTGGACGATGGAGATTGGACAAGTTTGGAGCAAAGGAGAGCATGGCGAGGCTTATGTAGAGCCTTTGTGAGGAGATCAGCAGGCTGATCAGTAGAGGCAATGTAGCAAACCCGATGACTTCCAAAATCAATTTTTTCCTGAACAAAATGATAATCTAGCTCAATATGCCGAGTAGGAGAGTGGTGAACTGGATTGGCAGCCATGTACGTAGCACTTAAGTTGTCACAGTATAATAAGACATGGAAACTGCAAGTGGAAACCTAATTCCTGTAGAATAATTTATCCAAGTGGTCTATGCCTAGACATGGGATAAAGAATGATACTCAGCACTAGAGCGTGACACTTTAGGTTGCTTCATTGAACACTAGGATATCATATTAGACCCCAAATACACAATTGGCCCAATCAGCCTTGAAGTAAGCAGAGAGAGTGGTGGAACAGGATTGGGACTGGAAGTCAAGAGTTCCCTTGACATAGAGAAGAATGCGTTTGGCAGCAAGCATGTGTAGTGCAGGGAGAACTCATAAACTGGGCAACTGTGTTGACGGCATAAGAGAAGTTTGGCCGGGTGAGTGTCAAATAGTGTAACTTTCTGGCAGCAAGTGGAGTGGAAGCCGGTTGCAATGGAGCATATCATATTTCTAGACCTGGGATTTTGCTGCGCAAAGGTGAGGAGTTTTGTGATGAAGATCGGCGAATGTAGAAAGGGAACCATTGATGATTGCTGTATTGAACATCCGGTATTCAGAACCAAGGCCACAAAGAACAGCAAGAACAAGGTATTTGTGGGCGATCGCTGATTGATGGAAGCAAGTTTATCCGCAATGGACTTGACATGTTGCAAGTAAGCATCAAGAGATTGGGAGCCTTTGGACATGCCAAGAAGTTGAAAGCGAAGATTGGCCTCACTAGCAAGAGAACTTTGAGAAAAGTGAGTGTGAAGACAATTCCAAACATCCTAGGCAGTATAACCAATGGTGAGAGATAAAACAAATTCAGAGATAGCACTGGTAAGGTATCTGACCACGAGTTGGTCTTGCTGAACTCAAAGAGGATAAATGGGGTTGGGGATAAGGGGAGCAGGGTCGCCATCTTTTTCTTTGTGTTTGGAATCAAGGATCGTAGGAAGGGGAATGGGATGAGAGCATGAGAGTCATGAGACCATCTACAAATTTCCATAGGTCATGACCAATAAGAAAAGATTTCATCTGACGAAGCCAGATAAGGTAATTGGACTTGATAAGTTTGACAAATTGGGTGGTGTTGGGGCTGGGACCCGGGTAGAGAAGGAGAAGAACAGGAAGACATGATGAAAGATGGGACAAAGAGGAAAAGTGAAAACCTAGACCGAGGAGGGATTGGGAGGCATTGGTGAGACAAACCCTAAGACCTAGTTAGACTCATATCATGTAGAAATATTGTTCCTTGATCAAATCACTAGGTACAAATCATTTATATAATACAATAGATACATGTATCTATGGTACCAAGTGAGAAATTAATAATTACATTCATAGGACTTGACCCTTGCTACGTTTAATCTAAGTTCATCGTATTTATACAATGAAACATAAATTAAGGAGAAGAATCCGGAGATGAATGTGATCCTTTAACAGAATTAGTTATAATTCTGGCAATATTCTAATTTAATCTAAACTACTCGGTGTCACAAGGGGAAGCGCACTTGTCTAACAAACTTGACTACATCCATACGCTAGTGTGAACATACACAAAAACGTATCTTTGTGGCAAATAAGGGTTAGCCCAAGTGAATAGTTTAGTGGAAAAAATTTCTTGCATTGTTAGCTAGTGTGCTCTCTAGATTAATTATTGCGTTTTTACTGGTTAATGAAATCCTTTGTGCATTTGAAAATATGATATGAGATTATTTCAGGCAGAGAAAAACCAACGACCTCACAAGGTTAGCTTTAAGGTTGACAAGGTAATGGCATTGGAAATAATGAATGCTTTATCAGAACGGTTGGAGAAACGTGGGGTAAGATTTCCTCAATTGTTTTCTTTCTCTAAACCTTATGGCTCCACTTCACAACTTCATTTGAAAGTGTTATTGTCCTACTTGCATACCGAAAACTGTTTCCTATCTTCAATACTGATACCACTATATGTATGTATGGATCTATATATATATAAGTACTCTCTGAAATCATATTGCTTTTACTATTTTAATGCATCTCTCCTTAAAGCCTGTGATTTGTCTATACACATTTGGTCAGGTAGACATAAACATCATTTATAGCAGGGGGGTTGATTTGGACATTTTACCCAAACGTGCCGATAAAGGACAAGCTCTTGCGTATCTGTTAAAGAAATTCAACAATGAGGAGAAACTTCCGCACGACACTCTTGTTTGTGGCGACTCTGGAAACGATGCTGAACTCTTCAGTCTCCCTCAAGTGTATGGTGTGATGGTATGTAGGTCATAAACAATTAGTTCATTATTTACCCTCTTTGCATAATCATATTGTTAGCTTATTAATAAGGATAAAAATTGTTAAATTGAATATGCAGGTGAGTAATGCACAAGAAGATTTGTTGCAGTGGTATGCAGAAAATGTGAGTGACAATCCTGATATGCTTCATGCAACTGAGAGATGTGCAGCTGGGATAATACAAGCCATTGGACATTTTCATCTAGGTCCAAATGTATCGCCTAGAGATTTAAAAGACTTCCGAAAGTGCAAAGTGGAAATGTCCAGTCCTGCTCATGAGGTAACCAAATTCTATTTGTTCTATGAGAGATGGCGCCGTGCTGAAGTAGAGAAATCTGAGGAGTACATGCAAAACTTAAAATCAGTCCTTGTAAGTGTGATTTGTCTGTTTTTTCCTTTCTTTCTTTCCCCGACGCGATTTTTAATTTTGAAACACCTTGGTTTATGGTAAATTTTGGGTCTTGTAAATTAGGAGTGTCTTGGTTATGTGCAATGAAGGGTGGACTACTGGTGCGGTTATAACTGATGCTGCTTGAATTCTTTTTGTATTCTTTCCATTTCTTTAGCAGTCATCGGGTATCTTTGTCCATCCCTCCGGAGTTGATCTACCAATCCACCAGTGCATAGATTCATTGGCAAGGTTGCATGGAGATAAGCAGGGAAAACAATTTTGGACATGGTTGGATCGATTATCCTCAGTTCAAATTGGCTCAAATGCATGGCTCGTGAAGTTTAATAAGTGGGAATTGTGTGGTGAGATGAGGCTACCTTTCTAGCATTTATTCGAGAATAGAAAAAGAATTGGAAGAATATATGCGATGAGTTAATCTAGTATAATATGAAATGAAATGTCTACATTTGTATCAAAACTGGTAGCTAGTCGTTAATTAAGTATTTGAATTAAGGATGACTCCAAATAGAAACATTAAACCTCAAAGGGGCATGTAAAATGTAAGTGGGAAAATTTAGGGAGCTGCTATAGGCACTCTAGAAAAGTCATCATGCATACAATTTTTGTGAGTGCTAATTATTGTGCAGAATTTGATGATTTAGTTTTCTGATAGAAATGGATTGCTATTGATGAAAGTTTGATGGATTGATTGTTGTAGAGAACGAGCGGCGATGTTGTCTAACTACAGTCTTGATGAGTTCGAAGGTATGACCTTTTAACTTCATGTTCCTTTGAAGAAAGTGGAGGTTCACCATAAAATTAATTGATAATACTGAGAGTAGTTCAACCTTTTATAAGCTCTTGCAAACTTTCTCATTTCACCAATGTGGAAGTCTTTTACTTTCACATTCTCATACGCCCGCTCATGTGTGGAATATTTTCAAGTCAAATACGTGGACAACTCAACTTGGATGACATGGAGCACATGTGGCTATTGGGCTTTACACGTGGATCAATCTGCTCTAATATCATGAAGAAAGTTGAGGTTCTACCATAAAAACAATTGGCAATATGGCGAATAGCCCAATTGATTATGAGCACATGTCATGGTATCATAATAGGTTGTCTCACGTATAAAGTCCAACAACCATGTGCTCCACGTCATCCTGTTTGTGTTGTCCACGTGTTTGATTTGAAAATTCGCCACACGTGGGATGGGGGACCTTGCATGTGCATATAAGTAGTTGGGCTACTTCCCATACTGCTAATTAGTTTTATGGTGGAACCTAAACTTTCTTCACCCTTGATGATCTAGGATGTAATAATTTGGGGAGATTTTAATCTGGTAGTTATATTACTCATGATTTGTTATGGCTTTACCAGGGTGAGGGGCCAGATGATTTCACTTGGCTGCACATGCATCAGACATGGCTGTATGGTTTGGAAATTAAAGAACCAGAAAGATGGTTATTCTAGCTTCCTAGCCAGGTCAGCATCTATTTTTTTTAGTCAAGATCGGGAGGCACATTTTGACACACTTTCTTATAGTCGGGGATCGGGGAATCTAATTCCATATTGTTTACACATCTATCCTGAATGCTGTTTTGCAGAATCCAGCGGTTAATTCCAAGTTTACTGGTCATGAAAAGGCATCCTTGTACATACAAGTTGCCAGGACCAAGTCAAAGTGCATGATGACTAAAGTTTGATTGAGTGCTAGTCAATTGTAGAATAATGGATATACTGTGTACAATCTGATGTTCTAGTTGTTATAAACTAAACTAAAAACCAATCAAGCAATAAACAAAACACAACGATATCAGAGTTCCTCCAATATAGTAGTACCTCTCTAACAACGAAAGCTTTATTGATTATGAACAAATACAAGAGAACTCACAAACACAAAGTGTTCTCAAGTATACAAACTTATGCCTCATAATTTTCACATACAAAACTCTATCCCACATCTATCTATTTATACTAATAGATGTCATAGGTTTACACAAAGTCCCTAGAATATAGGAAACCAAATCCTATGCTAAAACCAAATCCCAAACCAACTAGGAAACACAAATCTAAATATCTTGCGTCCAAGATATCCTAATCCTTGTTTGATTCTTGTTTTAGTTTAAGCATGTTGATTTAATGCCAAATCCAACAATATCCACCTTGGTATGAAATCCATAACGAGGCATCAAACAACTTCCGTTGCTCCACCGTATCGCAAGATCAAACTTGCTTCAATTGCACCAAAGCCAAGCGGTGCTCGAACTTAGCTGTATTAACCACCTTTGTCAACATATCAACTGAATTATCTTCTATAGCAACCTTTTTTAGATGAATCTCACCTTCAGCTACCACTTCTCTCACAAAATGATATCGTACATCAATGTGCTTAGTCCTAGAATGATGTACCTGATATCTGGCCAAATAAATGGCACTTTGGCTGTCACAATATACATCTAACTTGTGTTGTTCTACACCTAAGTTTCCTAACAACCCCAGAGTCCACATTGTTTATTTGATAGCTTCAGTGATCACCATGTATTCTGCTTCTGTGGTTGATAGTGCCACCGTTGGTTGTAATATTGGTCTTCAGCATATAGGACCCTTTGCCATAGTAAACACATACCCAGTTGTTGATCTTCTCTTGTCTAAGTCTCCAGCAAAGTTTGAGTCCACATATCCAACTGAGAACTCATCAATTCCTTCATCACATCTTTCAAAACAAATTCCTTTGTCCCTCATTCCATGTAATTACCTTAGTATCCACTTAGCAACATTCCAATGCTCTCTTCCAGGATTATGCATGAATCTACTAACAATTCTAGCTTCGTGTGCTATATCAGGACGAGTACACACCATAGCATACATTAATCCTCCAACCAATTAGCATATGGAATACCACCCATCTTCATCTTTTCTTCATCAGTTTTGGGACATTGTTGACTGCTCAACTTGAAGTGAGCACCTAATGGAGTTCCTACAAGCTTAGGATCTTTTGTTACTCCAAACTTTTGTAACAACTTCTCAAGATATTGATTCTAAGACAAACACACCAAACCTTTTTGTCTATCCCTTATGATCTCCATTCCCAATATTTTCTTGGCTTCACCAAGATCCTTCATTTCGAACCCCTTTCTCATTTGCTCCTTCAACTTTTCTATCTCTAAAATATTGCTTGAGGCTATGAGCATGTCTTCCACATAGATTAACAAGTACACGAACGAACCATCTTTCAACTTCTTGTGATAAACATAGCGATCATAGTGACTTCTTGTATAGTCTTGACCTTTCATAAACTTGTCAAATCTTAAATACCACTGCCTGGGCGACTGCTTCAAACCTTAAAGAGATTTTCTGGGCTTACAAACTAATCTTTCTTTGCCCTTCACTTGATACCCCTTGGGTTGTCTCATATAAATCTCTTCATCCAAATTACCATGAAGGAATGCAGTCTTCACTTTTGTACCAATTCAAGGTTGAATTATGCAACTACGGCAAGCAATATTCGAATGGATGAGTGCTTAACCACAAGAGAAAAAATCTCATTGTAATCTATTCCCTCATTCTGAGCATATCCTTTAGCCACTAGCCTAGCTTTAAATCTTACCAATCTCTTGTCATCCACTTCATCCTTCTTTGCATAAACCCATTTGCAGCAATTGCTTTCCTTCCTCTAGGCAACTCCACCAATTCCCAAGTCTTATTCTTGTGAAGGGAGAGCATTTCATCGTCCATTGCACCATGTCATTTACTCTCTTCTTCACTATTTACTGCTTCTTCAAAATTAGTGGGAATTTCAGCCTCAATTACTGGCAATACATATACCATGCAGGCCATGTAATCTTTATATCTCGCAGGTAGGGATATGTCTCATTTTCCCTTCCTTTTGGCCATGCAATCATCTTGTGTCTTTAATTCTTCCGATGGTGTTTGTTCTTCGTGATCACTCTCTTCATGTTCAAGTTGATCACCTTGTTCTTCTTCCACAACTTCCTTACTTGGCTGTAAATTCACAAGTACTTGTTCCTCAAGCTTTACCATCTGGACATCTCCCTTCAATTTCATGTGACTTTCATCGAATGTCACATCTCTACTTACTATAATCTTGTTCAACTCGGGATACCAAAGTCTGAAGCCTTTCACACCACTATTGAATCCCATAAAAACAACTTTCTTGGCTCGTGGATCTAGTTTGTTTTCCTTCACATAAAAGTAGGCATTGCATCCAAACACTTGTAGTCTATCGTAGTCTTGAGCTGGTTCTCCAGACTACATTTCAATGGGTGTTCTACCCTCCAATGCTGTTAATGGTAGTCGATTAAGCACATGACATGCATAGCTCAAAGCTTATGCCCAAAATCTCTTTGGCAGCTTAGCTTGAGATAACATGCAACGAACTTTCTTGAGCAAGGTCCTATTTAGTCTATCTGCAATCCCATTCTGCTATGGAGTATGTCTAACACTGAAATGCCGATAATCCCTTCCTTTTTACACATTTTGAAGAAAGGATCAGAGGTATATTCCCCTATATTGTTAGTTTTTAGTATCTTAATCTTCTTTCTAGTCTTATTCTCCACCATGTTCTTCCATTCCAGGAAGATGTTAAGAACCTCGTCATTTCGTTTCATCATATTTATCCATGATCTGCAAGAATAGTCATCAATAAAAGATACAAACCATCTTTTTCCACCTAAGCTGGCCCTCAAACTCAAAGTGAACATAGTCCAAAATCCCTTTCTTTTGATTAACACCTGAGCCAAATTTCATATTTGTTCGTTTGTCAAGAACGCAGTGCTCACAAAACTCTATCTTTCTAGTTTTTGCTCCTTGTAAACACCCTTACTTAATCAATCCTTGAAATTCTTTTTCTGCTACATGTCCCAACCTCATGTGCCATAATGCAAACAAGTCACTTTTATCACTTTGCACTTCATCAGCTACCACAACCACTCCATTTTCCAAAGTCTTTCCTTGTAGAATATAAAGTAAGCCATTCCGAGGCCCTTTCATTATGACAAGTGCTCCTTTAGCAACTTTGAGCACGTTGTTATCGGAGTAAAACTTGTGGCCTTGTGACTCGAGAGTGCCTAGTGAGATCAAATTTTTCTTCAGCTTTGGGACGTACCTTACACCATGCAATTCTCGAATCACACCATCATGATGCTTGGTCGTGATGCTTCCAATTCCTTAAGTTGTACATGGGTTATCATCTCCCATATACACAGCTCCATTCATAACTTTGAAGCTTGAAAACCAATGCCTTTAAGAAGTCATGTGATGGGTACAACCTGCATCGAGCACCCACTCTTTCATAAAATCCACAGTGCTCGATGCAGTTAGGGCATAGACAAATTCCTCATCCTCAACTTCAACCATATTTGCTTCTGAGTCATCCTTCTTCTTTCTAGTTTTATTTTATTTTTTTATTTTAGGCAATCCTTCTTCCAGTGTCCCTTTTTCATGACAAAAAGCACACTCATCTTTGTCCAAGAACTTCCTATTTTTTGAGACTCCTTTAGTACGAGACCTACTATTTTTCCTGTACGAACCTTTCTTTTCTTTCAATCTTCCTCTCACCATTACAGCTTCATAGTTATTCCTTTCTTGCCTGTCAAGGTGTCTCACCGCATGATTCATAAAAGCACTTGAGATTTCATCATACTTAATTGTCCCCCTGTCATAAATCCAAGTAGTCACGAAAGGCTCATAAGATTCAGGCAATGGGTTCATTAGGATCAAGGCCTTGTCTTCATCTTTGATTATCTCTTCATGACATGTGCGACCCTGATATCCTCCAAATACCAAGGTAGGCACATGATGGCCGACACCCGAAAATGACGAAGCCATATTAGAATGCATGAGAACTAGAAAGAAATAACTAACATGAATGAAACTTGTAAATTTAACTATAATGAATATGCAATTATGGAACATGTTCAGAACATACAACTAATCCAAGACACTAAAAATGAATAATATAAATTTGAATAAGCAAAGGAATGGATCCTACAACGAGAGGACTCGAAGATGCCAATGTGAGAGTACCTTGACACCGGGATTGTACGCCTTGAATCTAAGTCTTGAGGGGGCGCAAAACAAAACATGAGTGGACGAAGTTTATATATCAGTAATACTGAAACAGTTATTCATCAACGTACTAACCTCCAAAGTTTATGAAAACTCAATAGTATAATATGTAATAGGTTTTCTGAAAACCCTAGCATGCCATAAAACCTTTCATAAAACATATATCGTATATAATGTGCTTAGTAGTAGTACCACAAGGCATATATATATATATATATATATATATATATATATATATATATATATATATCTCTCTCTCTCTCTCTCCATTCACCTGAAGGCATTATATCTCCCAGTCGAAGCCAATATAAATATCTTCTGGCCGAAGGCACCAACCTACTCCTGGCCGAAGCCATATATAAGTATCTTACAGCCGAAGCCACGAACCTACCCCCAGTCGAAGCCATATATAAGTATCATTCACCCGTAGGCAGTATCATTCGTTCGTAGGCCCTACATCACTCGATCGAAGCCAATTAATGATTTCATTCGCTCGTAGGCAAAACTGTTCGCCCGTAGGCAGATCGTATGAATAACCACTAAGTAAGCACATAAAAACATTAACATAATATTTCTAATATATATATCTCAATTTGGAGCTTAGTAACTAAAATGTCTTATCATAAAACCACGTTCATAAGTAGGTATATAGTTATCAATCATATATACCGCAAAGAACGTAAAGTCGATAAAGCATGATATTTCATAAAGAGTGAAACCAATTTACTCATAAACGTTTCATAAAACATAGCCATTAAATCATGATTTTCATGTATGCATTTCTAATAGTAAAATCATGCATTTTAGAAGTGGTCCATTCACAAATACTTCGATGTCGAAGAGCCATGCAAACAAGATAGGACGGAAATGCCATATACAATTGCACCTAAGCACATAAAGGTACCAATTAATAAAACTATACTAAAATGGTAGAATTTCAGGAAATGGACGTCATAAACGGATTTAGGACGTCGAAAAAAATAAGGGGGACCTCAGGTACCCCTATGCGCCGCCACAGGATGGCGGCATGGACGGCCACACGTCGATTTGGGTTGCCGAAAAGTTGGCCGGAAAAGTCGTCAGTGCCACTGTGGTCGCCGCAGTGGACAGTGGCGGAGCACAGTACCTCCGGTGGAGGCACGTGTGCTCCATGCACCGGCCAAGACAGGCTCCCCAAGCGTGCCCATGAGCTGGCCAGGGTTTTGGGATGGGCTGGTTTTAGGGTTTGGGCCTGAGACAACTGGGTTGGGCTGAAGACTCGGTTGGGCTTGGGTTCAATAGGTTTAGGTTCTATGGGTCATAATTATGGATTTGGGCCCAGAGTTTGGGCAGGGTTCTATGGCCCAATAACTTTGGGCCGGCTAAGGTTATGGGTCGGGTTTAACCCGTTTTTTAAGCCGGCTTAACCGGAATTTAGGAAAAGTTCTTGAGCTCCGTTCGAGCTCCAAACTATACCATTTTCAACATTTAAACTGTGGAAAAGAAGCTACGAGCGAGAGGAAGAGGATCATACTACTTTTTGGCCTAACCGTGGCCGGGAAGTCCAAGTAAAGTTGCGGTCCATCGCTAGGGAATTGAGTGTGCTAAGTTCAATGTCTTTATGCTCATAGAGAATGAGATAGAGAAAAGGCAAGGAGTAAGGGTGGGGGTTGTGGTGTTGCCATCATTGTCTAGTTGTTTAGGGTGCCTATGGTTCGGAGAGGAGAGGTGAGTGAAGAGAGAGACTTACAAAAGGAAGAGAAAGTGAAGAGGCAGAGAACTGTGAGGTTTTTTTTTACGGGAGAGGGAAGGAAGAAAGAGAATAAGTGCTTGGGCTGGGGGACAAAAACCAAAGGGTGGGCCCCACGTGGCTCACCAATTAAGACAAAAACAACCCATTCAAAATATCTAGCCCATCCCAATGAAATGATCAAAATACCATTTCGTTCTAAAATCCGTAAAGTTATTCAGGATGAGTTGTTACACTTCAAGATTTGCCAGTTCAGCTAGAAGCTTGTTAAACTCTTCTAGATGGCCAATCATCTTCATGCCCTGTTTGTACTGGAACCTGTACAATTTGCTCTTAAGATGCAGTCGATTCTCTGCACTCTTCTTCATATATCTTGTCTTTAATGCATCCCACAATTCCTTCGCAGAAGTTATGTTCATCACACCATACTTCTGTTGCTTTCCCAAGCATAGCCGAATTGTAGAACATGCATGAGCATTCAATCTTTCCCATTCTTCTTTTTCCATCGAAAACGGCATGTCTCATAACACAACAACCAAACCTTATTGTATCAGGACATCTCGAACCTCACACTGCCACATAGCAAAGTTGCTCGTTCCATCAAATTTCTCAATTTCAAACCTAGCTATCATGCCCCGATCTCGACATACATCTAGGATCGACGTGCGACGGTAGACTGTAGGGGGATGCTAGGAAATACGAACTGAAATACTGAACTGAAAATAACAATAATCACATATATTTAAGGAAAAGTATAGGGGTAACCTAACACTCCAAGCTCTCATAACTCTATCTTCTACCCCAAAGCTTCTCGTATCTAATAATACCTGCACAATCGCCCTTACACCATCGGAATGGTGCACCGGGCAAACAACAACCCGGATAAGCCGCAAAGCTCATGTGAGTGACAATAATTCGATGTATGTGATACTAATAAAAACCATCCATTGATCATGGTTTATAAACGTCAACTATAAAATCATATTTTATGAAATCATAATCAAGTCACTAAAAATCCCGAATGAATCATCCAGACATCCAACGGCTCGTCTGAAACAAGTCACAAAAGCTCACAACCATAAATTCATACAACACAATGAAATGTAGGGTTAGAGTGACACAGTTCAGCCAAAGCCTACATCTTTGAAGCTATCTCAATCCAAACTCAATCTGAAGAACCAACAAAGCAATTAATCAGGTTCTGGACCTCTCAACAAAACCATAATACCAAACGGAATTCCAGACCACTTAACGAAATCCAACCAAGATACGATTCCGGACCACTCAACGGAATCGCGGAGTAGAAGGGATTCCGGACCTCTCAACGAAATCTGAGTGGATACGATTCCGGACCACTCAAAGGAATCGCGAAGTACAATGCATATCAAACCACTTAATGAAATCCAAGCTGGATACGATTCCAGACCACTCAACGGATTCGCAGATCACGAGGGATTCCAAACTACTCAACGGAATCCAGATGGAGCAGGGAACCGGACCACTCAACAGAACCTTAGCGGAAACCCAGTTCCAGATCACTCAACGGAACCGAGCCAAAGTTCAAGGAATATAGCAATGCTCGAAGAACAAGACATGAAACAAGTACTCAAAATACAAAAACTCAATGAAACAAGAAATGGAACAAAGCACAAGGTACACAATTAGAATGGCTCAATGAAACGAGAAATGATATAATGATACGATATGTGAAACAAGTCTGGAAGCAACAAACCCCATGACAATGGGTTCAAGGTCCACTACTAGCCCTCACATTTCATCACATCATGCCAAACATACAAATCAAACCATATTTCCAATATGCACGTCAAATCACATTTCATAAAATTAAATCGATGACTAAGTATTAAAAATAACAATTCAATAGAAAACATATTTATAAAATCAAGTCATATCCACATAGGATAACAATTACGAAAATAGGGTAATCACCAATACCACATATATTAAAATCACTCACCTGGAGCCCGCACTACCGCGCCCTAGCACCCAAAATCAAGACGTCACGCACTATCATCTCCTAAAACAAAGTACAAGTCCACATTTAGATTCCTTCAATAATTCATACACCCAAAAACTCTCATATGTCCCCCACAATAACATTTAATGAGAATCAAACCGTGGTTCAAAGGAAGGGTCCATGATCCTACGTCACTTGCTCCGTAAGATCCAACCACTAGATTTTCGATTCGTAAGTTCCTAAGGTCCTTAAATATTACGTACTATAATGTATCAAAGTTTGGTGACGATCCAACAGTCGGATCATCGATTGCTATAATGTTCAAGTGGCGGATCTTAACAAAATTCCGCCGGATACTGCAGATTTTACAGATTTTCTGGGCAATCTTTAGAACTCCATATCTCACTCGTTTCTCAACCAAATTCGACCTATAATATACCAAAACGAAGCTAGAGAAGCGTAGAACAAGATTATACCAATTGAAGCCCAAATGATGGTAGACGGTGGCCGGAAAATGGCCTGAAATATGGCTGTCCGCGGGAAAACTGGTAACTTGCTGGAATTTCTGGGCAAACTTTAAACATCCATAACTTTGTTAATACTCAACGAAATCGAGTCATTCAAAAACAAAAATCATAGATTGGAATGAGAGGAACAGATTGGTACCTTTCTTGATGTTAAATCGCCTTGGTTTGGCCGGAAAATGGTCTGGAAGGTCACGGGTTCGCCGGAAACTGGGCAAACTTTAAATCGTTAGAACTTTCTCATTTCTCAACCAAATCACATGATCCAAACATGAAAATTTATCTACACATCATGAGGAATTGATTTATACCTTTTTTGAATCCAAAAGATGACTGAAAATTGTCTGAATCACGCCTAGAAGTCTCGGCCCAAACCTTGTTCTTCGAACTCGAGGTTAGGATTTGTTCTCAATGAAACAAAACTCAAAACTGGGTTTATGGTGGTGAAGACATGCAGATAATGGTGGTTTTGGTGTTCAACAAGCCAAAATTTTTGGTGATGATGGTGGTTTGTTTCATGGGGAGAAAAGGGAGAGCCGAGAGAGAGAGTGAGAGAACTCTAGAAAGAAAGAGAGAACAAGAGAGAAGGGAGGAGAGAGTTCCAGAATTTTTGGGTGCCCACAAGGCACTCACTCAATGGTTAGACAAAAATATCACATGTTCAATTAATTATCAATTTACCAAAATATCTTCGATGTTAAAAACCTTATAAAGTCTTTGTTATAAGTCCGAATCACATTCTATTTACGTCCATGCATTCGTATCGACGAGGACTATCCAAATATATAAAGATAAGTGGAAAAATACGTAGGGGTCAAATACGTCGTAAATATAAAAGCATCGAAACTAAGAATACAAAATACGTAATACGTAATTTCAAATAGTGAAATCCGGGAATGAGATTTCACACTAGCACTATGAACCGTCTTCTTGGTTCCACTAGTGCCAGACTTTTCTTCAACATCATCACCACTGGTAGAATCACCAGTCTTCGTCATTGCTTAATAGACAACCCATGTAAGAACCTAAGCTCTTGATACCACTTGTCATAAACTAAACCAAAAACCAATTAGGCAATAAACAAAACACAACGATTTCAGAGTTCCTCCAATATAGGAGTACCTCTCCAACACTAGCAGACGTAAAACTTCCGGAATGGGTGAATAATCGTGGCTTGTCACTGTCTCCCCTTTTTAAGAAAAAAAAAATGTAAAACTTCACGTTTCTTCATATGCTGTCCTCTCCTTCCTTTTTTTTTTTTTTTCCAAACTTCTTCTCCTTCCTTTGCCTACCTTTTCTCAGTCACCATCTTCCCTACACCCTAAGAGAACACCGCTCCCACAACTCTCTCTGTTTTGATTATTGGTAAGCATTGATCGTTATTTTTCGTTGAATTTTCTTTTCCTTTTTTTGTGAGTCTGTATGTCGTTGCTTTCATTCTCCTTTGTTGCAGACTATTTTCTATTTGGTTGATCCATAATCGTTTTGATTATTGTACTTTTGTTGTGTTCATCTTTTTAATCGGCTTCTTAATCTTCACCATTGTAGTTGCTGTTTGCTACCATTATTTTTATACTAGCCAACTGTTGAATGTTAGTGGAAAGTCCATTATTGTTATAGGCTCAATTTGTTGTACAATTGTGTTTGATGCATAAACATCAGTTCATGAATGACATTCAATTTTTTTTTGAAAACCAAATTATTCTCACCTCCGATTTGCCTCCACTTACAGAAAAACGACAATGGAGAATGAATAAAATAACATAAACTCATAAATAAAAAAAAGTAATTCACTAAAAAAACAACAAAAAATGCTTAGCAATTGTAGGGCATAAGGAAGATGGTGACTGAGAAAGGGTAGGTGATAGAACGAGGAGAAGAGGACGACAGAAGAAGAAACGTGAAACTCAGTTTCACGTTTGCTAGGTTTCAGGGTTTTTTCGTTTTTGTTCTTTTCTTTTCTTCCTTTTTTATTTATTTATATTATGGTTTTGTAATTATTTTTAACTGAATAAAAATTCATATCATTTTAAGTGATGTGGTTGTCCACATAAGATGGTATAACATTATGGTACAATTAGATACAAGACAATATTTAATTAGGCTAGTGAGACCTAGTTATGTGCCCATGAGCACATAACAGAATTTTTGACAGAATTGTGAAGGAAGAAGAACATTGACTTGTGACACTCGTTTTTAGAGACTACATTGATCGATTTTCAATTTCAGAAACCATCTTGATGGGATGAGTCAATTTTAGAGATAATTTCTGATAAAAATCCAAAATTAAATGAGATTCTAAATTCACTTTTTTCTTGCTATAGTACAATTCACATGTCTCAAAAATGTAAAATAAGAGGTAAAGTTGACTTTTACCTTTTTAATAAATAAATATGTAACACTAAATATTAAATGACTGAAATTAAAAATAAAAAAAATGTAATAGTTGTAAAAATCTAATATAATGACTAAAACACTCGTAGCACTTACTAGCATTGGATCCATACCCTTCACATCTTAAATTTACATAAAAGAAAGGGAAATGGACAGAAATAGGACATTTTCTTAATCTTGAGGCATAAATAGGACAAACCGACTATGTACAAGCCATGCACATGATGCACAAAACTGAAAGTACTAAAATACACTCATATCAATACTAAAAATCATCAGCCCATTGCATCACTTTTCTCATTTAGAAGAGAGAGATGTCGAGAGAGCTCTGTGAGCTTTAGGTTTCTAGGTTGAACTCAGATCTCCGAACTCCGATTCAAAGAGAGTGAAGTCCAAAGAGAGGTGAGAAGAGTGAGCTTGGCTTTGGGTTTACCTCATACCTCTAATTTTGAACAAAGGGATGTAGAGTGGTGAGAAGAGTGAGGTGGGTTTTGTTCCATATTTTTTGTGTTCATCGGAAAGTTTCATTTTTTTTTCCGGAGGCTGAAGCTTTGGCAGACATAGTAAGGAAGGGTGTTTAGTTTCAAGTTCCTTCATCAATGATTTATGGAATACATGGGTTGTTTGTAAGATGAATTCATACTTAGAAGTTAAATTAGGGTTTCTATTTCATGTTGCCTATGGGCTATGGAATAAATTTCAAATTTTGACGTGCTAAGAAACTGGGATGGATCAATTTCTGGTTAAAGTGTCCAATTGCAGAAATTTGTGAAAATTTTTCTGTAATGTGCATGTGGTGTGGATGGCTACATCTTAATATGAGAAGCGAGAATGTTCATTAGTTATGATGCACGTATGTTATGCCCCGATTAGCAAGTATGACCACAACCTAGTTGGCCTCGGCAAAAAACAAAATTAAGAAAAAGTTAGAGGACGTTAAGGGTCATGCGTGTCCATGAAATAATGAGAACGAGTATCATGTTTTCCACATGCACTGTTAAGTGGTGCTTGATTTAGATAACAATACTTTTTAAACAGCCACTATAACCTTATATACTTAACAATTATGTTAATTGTATCCACTATACAATAGGTTGCCGTTAAAGTTTCTTATTAATGCGAAAAACAGCTCGTTGCTTGATCTCCAGTTCTGTGCATATCACGTGCATGTAATGTACATATGATGTGCAAATGGTGTATATGGTGGTGACTTCACATGTGATGACGTCATTTTTCAGATTTTGATGAGAGAGCTGTGAGCTCTTGGTTTTTGGGTTGGCTCAGATTTGTGAACATATCATGTGCATGTTGTGTACATACAGTGAACATAAACTGAAAAAGTCATCCAACAAAATACCAATTTTTGCCAATTTTTAGTAAACACCATCACAACATTCAAACAATATAGGGAATACCATGATATAGAAGAGGGAGAAATTGATTAAATTTTGTTTCACTATTACTTCATACAGCTTATGGGTTTATTCTCCCCTTCCCCAAATATGAAAAAACTCACTTCTTTAATCCCACTAATCTGTAAATATTTGAAGGAAGAGAGCAAACAACAAATGGGTTTCTTATTTTTGGTCAATAACAAATGAGTTTTCTTATTTTGATGGTGTTAACCCCTCCTGCCCAAGATGTTTGTGAAGAGAGAGAGAGAGAGAGGGCTTTGTTCCCTACAGGCACCATGTGTGCACTGGTGGTTAATGACCGGGCCTTGTTCCCACCCTCGATGCGAGTCCAGTGGCAATGGTCTCGAGTCTCGATTGTTTGCCGTGTTGCCAGAAAATAGTCGAAAAACTCACAGTTTGCTTGAGTTTCGATTTCAACGATCGGGGATGAGATTCGTGACAGGGTTAGGTGTTTTGGACTCGTGAGGACGAGATGAAATTGGTGGTGGCTTCATTTTGGACGGTGTTGGTCGGGCCAAGTGTGCAACGTTTGTGCACAATGAGAACGGGTGAGAGAGCATGAGGGAGAAAGTGAGAGAAGAGAGAAGGAGGGAGAGAGTAGAGAGCAATCAGAAAATAGGAGGAAATGATTCATTTATATGCAAGGGCAATTAAATTATTTTAATGTATAGAAAAAATGTTATTTTTCACCGATTATTGTGTATGGATTGTGCATATTAAAAAAAATTCTATTTCTATCTCAAAATTAAGAAAATATTTTGTTTCTGTTCCAAAATTAAGAAAATGTCATATTTATGACTATTTGCCTAAAAGAAATCCGCAACGCAGGGTGAAATTTTTGTTGTTGGAAACTTGGAAGGTGTACGTCACCGAACCAAGAAGAAAGCAATGAATTCAGTCTGTGGTCAAAACACTACATAAGGCGAGCGAGCCGCGCTTGCCCAAGTGGGAGTGGAGGTGCTGAACCCAATCGGCAACCCAGATGATGAACATGAATTGTCGTCTGAATGGCCCTGCTCGTCTGATGCTAGTCTCAGATCTTGACTACACCTTGGTTGATCATGATGCGCCTGATAATCTCTCTCTTCTCAAGTTCAATGCGCTGTGGGAATCATATTACCGCCATGATTCTCTGCTGGTATTTTCCACTGGAAGATCACCCATCACGTACAAACCTCTGAGGAATCAGAAACCCTTGCTAACCCCCGACATCACCATCATGTCCGTCGGCACTGAGATTATGTATGGCGGTGGTACCGATATGATTCCTGATCTTGGTTGGCAACAGTTTCTCAGTCACAGATGGGATAGAGCCATAGTTGTTGAAGAAACTAATCAGTTTCCTCAACTTACTCCTCAGGTACCTTTTTGTTTTTTGTTTTTCCTTCCCCAATGTTAGAATTATTTATAATTCCAAAGATATTCTAATTTAATCTAAACTACTTGGGTGTCACAAGGGAAGTGCACTTATCAAACCAACTCGACTACGTCCATATGCTAGTGTGAACATACACAAAAATGTATCTTAGCCCAAGAGTTTGAATTTCACTCTTCTTCGTAAAGTAGAATAATTTAGTGGGAAAAAATTCTCACATTGTAGATGATGTGAGCTCTAGTTTAATTATTACGTTTTTACCGGTTAAGGTAAACAACGCTTGTGCATTTGAAAATTTGAAAATATGATATGAGATTATTTCAGGCAGAGGGAGAGCAACGACCTCACAAGGTTAGCTTTTATGTTGACAAGGTTATGGCATTCGAAATAATGAAAGTTTTATCACAACGGTTGGAGAAACGCGGGTTAAGATTTCCTCGATTGTTTTCGTTCTATGAACCATTTTGCTACACTCCAGAGCATTCACAACTTCAATTGAAAACAAAACTGGTACCACTATATATATATATATATATATGTGTGTGTGTGTGTGTGTGTATTCTCTGAAATCATATTGCTTTAACTATTTGAATGCATCTCTCCTTAAAGCCTGTGATTTGTCTCTGATCTTTATACGCATTTGGCCAGTTAGACGTAAAGATCATTTATAGCAGTGGGATTGCTTTGGACGTTCTACCAAAAGGTGCTGGTAAAGGAAAAGCTCTTGCATATCTGTTAAAGAAATTTAAGTTTGAGGAGAAACTTCCACACAACACTCTTGTTTGTGGCGACTCTGGAAACGATGCTGAACTCTTCAGTCTCCCTCAAGTGTATGGGGTGATGGTCTGTAAGTCTTAAACGTTTAGTTTATTATTTGCTTTCTTTCTCTGCATAATCATATTGTTAGGTTATTAATAAGGATAAAAATTGTAAATTGAATATGCAGGTGAGTAATGCACAAGAAGAATTGTTGCAGTGGTATGAAGAAAATGCAAGCGACAATCCTAATATGCTTCATGCAACTGAGAGATGTGCAGCTGGTATAATACAAGCGCTTGGACATTTTCATCTAGGTCCAAATGTATCGCCAAGAGATTTCAAAGACTTCCGAAAGTGCAAAGTGGAAATGTCCAGTCCTGCTCATGAGGTAGTCAAATTCTTTTTGTTCTATGAGAGATGGCGCCGTGCTGAAGTAGAGAAATCTGAGGAGTATATCCAAAACTTAAAACCAGTCTTTGTAAGTATGACTTGTCTGTTTTTTCCTTTCTTTCTTTCCCCGACGCCATTTTTTATTTTGAAACACCATGCTTTAAGGTAAATTTATAGTCTTGTAAATTAAATGTGTCTTGGTTATGTGCACTGAAGGTTGGACTAACTGATGCTGCTTTAATTCTGGTTTTTTTTCTATTTTTTGTTTTCTTTCTGTTTCTTTAGCATTCATCAGGTATCTTTGTCCATCCCTCCGGGGTTGAGCTACCTATCCACCAGTGCATAGATTCGTTGGCAGGGTTGCATGGAGATAAGCAGGGAAAACAATTTTGGACATGGGTGGATCGGTTATCGTTGGTTCAAATTGGCTCAAATGCATGGCTCGTGAAGTTTAATAAGTGGGAATTGTGTGGTGAGATGAGTCTACCTTTCTAGCATTTGTACGAGATAGAAAAAGAATTGGAAGAATACATTTGCTAAGTTAATCTAGTAGAATATGTAATGAAATAGTTACATTTGCATCAAAACGGGTAGCTAGTCAGTAGTTAAATATCTGAGTAAAGGACGACTCTTGAAATAGAAACGTGAAAGTTGAAAGGGGCATGTAAAATGTAAGTGGAAAAATTTAGGGAGCTGCTATTAGCACTCCAGAAAAGTCATCAAGCATACAATTTTTTGTGAGTGCTAATTATCGTGCAGAACTTGATGATTTAGTTTTCTGATAGTAACGGATTGTTATTGGTGAAAGATTGATGGATTAATTGTTGTAGAGAACGAGCGGCAATGCTGTCTGACTACAGTCCTGATGAGTTCGAAGGTATAACCTTTTAAGTTCATGTCCCTCGTCGGCCTAGAATGTAATAACTTGGAGAGATTTTAATCTGGTAGTAATATTACTCATGATTTGTTGTGGCTTTACCAGGCTGAGGTGCCAGATGCTTTCACTTGGCTGCACATGCATCAGACATGGCTGGACGGTTTGGAAATTAAAGAACAAGAAAGATGGTTATTTTAGCTTCCTAACCAGGTCTGCATCTATTTTTTTGGGTCAAGATCGGGAGACACATTTTGACACACTTTCTTAGGGTCGGGATCGGGGTACCTGATTCCATATTGTTTACACATCTATCTTGAATGCTGTGTTGCAGAATCCGGTGGTTAATTCCTAGTTTACTGGTCACTATAAGGCATCCTTGTACATAGAAGTTACCAGGACCAGGTCAAGGTACATGGTGACTAAAGTTTGATTGATATGTTGGCCAATTGCAGAATAATAATGGTACTATGTATACAATCTGATAAGCTAGTTTACACAATGTGCTGCAATAAGTACTACATTCGGTTGCAGTAAATTAATTCTCAAGTTATTCCATTTCGTTTTCAGTCTTCCAAGTTTTGTTTTTGCTTTTTTTGCTTTTTGAAAACTGAACTTGTTTAGTAACTATTTTTAGTTTTGATTTGGGGCAGATAAAGAAGCATGACTTGATTCCCTGTATTATATCTATAGTTTGCTGTGTAGCCTTCCTGGTTCTGTGTCACGTCAACACAATTAACAGCAACCGTAACTTATTTGATGGAATATTGTAAAGGGATATATTGAAAATGAGTGTAGGTGTTGAAGTGGAGAAAATTTTCATTGTACCCGAAATGGATGGTACACCACGTGTCATTATATAAGTGGAGAGAAGTTTTTTTTTTTAAGTTGTGCATCTCCTTTTTGTTTTGGACACATTGACAAATCTTTTGTTAAAATGAGACAATATAGAGTGTAAAGAGTAAAATGTGGCACGGAAAAAAAGTTTTGTTAGGTAAAGTAAGATAGAATAGAGTTGAGGAAAGAGGGAGGGAAAGTGAGAATATAGAATATGGGGAGTAAATAGAGACAATGTAAAATATAAAGAGAAAAATGAGATTGATAAAGATTACAAGTATCATAGCTAAAAGTAAGTCACATATGACTAACTCGAAACCAAGTTGACTGTGTGGGTTTGGTTGGTTCGTCTGTTTTTTCATCATGAAGGCCTACTCTTAGACAAAAATGGTCACATTCTAGTGAAGTTCTAGGACATGTCAATGTATTATAGAAAGTCTAAGTAGTCACGCGCTATTCTGTGTAACAAAAGTCTCACATTAGCAAAAACTTTAAAAACCTTTGAGACCAACTTGGAACGAAATAAAGTTGAAGGACTAAAGTGGAAAAGACCGAGAAGTTGAGCCAAAAATTGTGAAATTAATCATAAAAATAATAGAGTGTTGTTGATGTGGCGGGAGTATGATTATCTTCCCTCCTATTACCATCTCCTTCCATTCATTTCTCGCACGCTCTTCTTTTTGTTTTATTCTCTATATACAAAATTCAAAACAAGATATGAACGTGGTGTAATCATAACAATTTAAATATGAGGGGATGGAAAAAGAGAAATTAAGATGAGAGATAATCTTACTCTGATGTGGCCACCTATTTTTTGTATTATCTCACCGACCAAACTGGTGTTAATATTCATCATAGATGCCACGCCTATGATGTGGGGATATAAAAGTAATTTTCGGGGGAGGGGGGGTGGTTTCTTGAAGTGCATAAAAAAAAAAAGTGACAGATTATCTTAATAGTTAAGGCTTTCCTTTTTAATCAATTATTTAAATAATTTCCTATTTAATTAGTGTAGAATATTTTTCGTAATAGAACAGTTCAAAAAACATTAGTCTTTAAAAATGATTAAAATTAAAAAAAAAAAAGCTAGTGCTAGATTACATATTCATTTTAATCCCTTAAAGTGTACTTTTATTGAAATGTTATATTCTATCTTTGTTATTTAATGTATCCACATTAAAATTTTTAATTTTTGTTTTTGTCAACTCATGCCAACACTCATCTCCACCATTGTAGTAGAGGACCACTTGCTTTAATTTTATTAATATGCACATATTAGTTCTTCAATTATAAATGAACAAAAAAAAATTAAAAGAAATTAGTGACACATAAATATGTAAATATACAAGTGTACAAAAATGACTGTACCGAAATATATAAAATTGAATTCATTGTACATAAATGTTTACCTAAATATTTATACCAAAGTATATTATAATGAACCTAAATTTATGTACCGAAATGTAGTATATTAAATTATTGTACCTAAATGTCAATATCGAAATATGTGTTCAAAATGTATTATATTTAATTAATGTACTTATATATTTGTGTTGATGGATATACCTAAACATATCAAATGAATTAATGTATGTAAATGAAGAACATACACATTGTATTAGAATATATTAATACAAAAAAAAATTAGTTTACCTAAATGTAGACATCAAAATACATTCTGATGAATAAAATGAATTAAATTATAGTTCATATTTGTCTTTAACGAAAATTGAACATAATACCTCTCATTTACAAGTGAAGAGGAGTATCACTAGATTATAGTACTAAGTGGTTATACAATGTTATAACTTAAAACTCATCTTTTTTAAGGATTAAAATGAAGTTTCCTTAAAAAAAAATAAAAAATAAAAAATAAAAAAAAAAACCTTTGAACCCTGTAGAAGCTTTTGAGAATTCCAAGAATCAACGGGTCAGATGGGTTTACCGAAAACGAACGGTCTTGATTATAATGTTCATCGGCTTATCCAAAAGTGCAAAAGTTAGAACATAACCAACCCAAAATTCAATCTTGAGGGAGAGAGCACGAAAATGGGTCTTCTTCTCTACTCCAATCCTCTGCCTCTCACCACCGCTTCTTCCCCTTCTTCTTCTTCTTCGCCGTCTCCAACTTCATCACCTTCATCTTTCTCTGCAACTAGTAAGCTCTCTCTCTCTCTCTCTCTCCCATTTACTTAGTATATCAGCTTTTGCATTTTTCAGTTGTGTATTATTTAATTTACTTCAAATGCTCGCCTAAATTCTCCAAATCACACAGCTCAATTGGGTGTTCTTGGTTGGTTTCTGCTCGTTCAGGTTTTTTGTCAAACACTTGGCGTGCACCCATCCTTAGCTACGCATTCAGCCTCCAATAATCCAATTTTCATCTGCATTTTCGTTTTTTCTAGTGTCAGTACATAAATATGTTTAATTTTTTCATATTCGAGTCGCGTTTTTATAGTTAATTTGCTTTGTATATCATATTTTTCGGCTCATATTCGTATGATAATTTTGTTTTGTGTCTCTGGTTTTCAGTTTCATGGATGCACATGAAACCCAATAATCTGCATCCGAAATCTTTTAGCGGAGTTCGACTTCATATGCCTGTTGTGAAAAGGTCTGCTTCAGTGGTTGTTAAGGCCTCCTCTGACATTGATGGAACTACTGCTGCAAATGAGGGCAGTGAGCCCCTTCCAGATAGCAAGGGAGAGGCGGTGGTACCTGTCGACAAGCTTCCTTTGGAGTCAAAGCTGCAAGAGCGGCTAGAGCAGAAGAAGAAGATGCAACTGGCGAAGAAAATAAGGCTTCGTAGGAACCGACTTGTTCGCAAACGAAAACTGAGAAAGAAAGGCAGATGGCCTCCATCAAAGATGAAGAAGTTAAAGAATGTCTGAGGTTTACCTCATGCTTTCTTGCAGGTTCAGTTCTGACCCTTTTTGTTTATGCTTATCCGTGATTTTTGTTATTGCAAAGATCAAATGTCTTCTTCGTATTGATGTAATTTCTTAGTTTGAATCTTGATGATGTCAATGAAAATAGTATTGCCCAACATGATCTGAATTAGGATTATAGATGGTAGAAATGCATTTGCTTTTTCCCTGTCGCAGATGTGAGAAATTTGGTTGATTTAAGCAATTCTTTCATCTAAAATTGTAGAAATTGTCTCAAGTTCTGCTCCAACATTTACAGTAAGTTAAACCAATAATGCCCGGTAGGCTGCTTGGCACTGAAGTTTGTTTGTAACCCCTAGAATGTAGAAGTTGTCTCCCAATACTTTTTGTACTCCCATAATTATCTCTCCAATATGATGAATCCGAATCCGATCATGTTTTTTGCCGCGTAAGCATGTAGAGATTGACATTCAGTGTCGCGGCGAATTTAAGTATTCCATGACTCTGTGTCTGCGTGTAGGCTCTTCTAAGATCAACCCTCTAGTTTGGAGTTTTATCCACTTAACTCTCAGTTTTTAGGAGAGGCGTTAGAAAGAAAACTCTAAACTGTTTAGGATCAAAATCAACCACCGTAGAACACCAAACAGCGGCCTCCCTATTCTGATTTTAGGGGGTTTTTCGCATTTTCCCACCAGAACCAACAACAACAACAAAGCTTTATCCCACTAAATGGGGTCGGCTGTATGAATCCTAAAACACAATTGCGTTCGGTTATGTGCCACGTCTTCCGTTAGATCCAAGTACTCCGAGTCTTTTCTTAGAATCTCTTTCCAAGTCTTCCTAGGTCTTCCTCTACCCCTTCGGCCTTGGACACGTGTCTCGTAGTCGTATCTTTTAACCGGAGCATCTATAGGCCGTCGTTTCAAATGTCCAAACCATCTTAATCGATTTTCTCTCATCTTTCCTTCAATTTCGGCTACTCCTACTTTACATCCTCATTCCTAATAGATCTGCAACACTAGTATTTAATGGGAAACAGATTCTATTGCTAATTTGTTGTCGGCTCTAATGAGTTTTGTCTGTCATAACATGCTTCAATTTTTGTATCGCAAAACCCTCCCTACATGTTTGCACCCGTATGACGAATGAAGAAAATTCTCCTTTTCATCCGAAAAAGAGAGTGTTGGTCTGAAGGTGAAAACCAACCAAGTTCTCCTTCCGTTATAATTTTGATTCTGCTTAGAAGGTTAATTAGGTGATTCTGCTTAGAAAGTAATGTAAAATCATAAATAAAGAAAAGTGATTAAAAACCATAAAAAAGCAAGTAGTGGGTTGGTGTTTGGGGGCAGGTAGCAGAAGGAGAGTTTCTTTTTCAATCATTTTATGTGGGTAGAAGAAAAAGTGAGGATAAAATAGGCTTTGAGAATGAGGATGATTCTCTCTCTTTCTAATCTCTGTCTTTTCCTCCTTTTTTGTTTGAACGATTACGATTAAATCACGTTAACATCTTATATTATTTTTTTATAAAAATAAAAAGACAAAAATATACGAGATGAATGGTGCTTTTATTGGAGATTATGAGGGGAAGATGCGTCAGATTTAACAATATACGCATTTCATCATATTTGGAGTTTTTTTATTTATTTTTAAATTTCAAATAAAAAAAGTTAATCAAGTTATCTCTTAATTAAATCATAACACGGAGATAAATATTGCAAAAAAACACACAACGGAGACACAAAACAAGGGCGACAGCATGCTTATGGCTAGTCATCAATGGCGGCTCCCCTGACGCCACACCAACCCATTTATCTATTTTTATAATTGAATAATTTATTTGTACACCCA